CAGGCACACTTCATCAGACAATAAAATGGGATTACAGATTATAGTTGTATATATAGGGGTGTCGTGTTAAATTAGCATGCAAAATAGCAGGGGTCATTTCGTAGAAAAAGAGGTGCAGGAGCTCATTAGCATAACTCATTAGCATAGCTTATTTGCATATGCCACAGCCCCTGACATCACCGGAAGTGTGTCAGAAGGCGACACCCACCGCTCAGGCTCCACTGGACTGTTTTGAATTGCTAGCTATTGGAGGGGGGGAATGTGCAGATCTGACCTCACAGAGGAGGGAGAGCTTCTACCTGAATAAAACTTGGTCTTAAAGGTGCCACTGATTGCTAGCTATGGGGGCGGGGGGAGACGCACAGATCTGCCCGCACAGAGGAGGAAGAATTTGTACTTGAAGGTGGGCCGGGGGGGGGGGGGGGCTGTGGACCTGGCTCCTCACTGCTGGAGCGCCGTTCCTGTGCGCTCCTGCAGGAAATGCCCCCCGCAAAATAGTAAAGATATTTTTTAACAGATCAAAAGAGTGACAAGCTTGGTTTCTGGTTATCATGTTTGGATTCAACTGGGGGGACGGGGGGGACGACCCAACCAGGATGTAGAAACCTGTGAACGGTTCTTAGTTCTAATAAGGAACCTCTATATTCAGAAGCATTATACCCCAGAGCTTTTCAACAATTACAATTGTCATTTGCATGTCCACAACCTGCGTGCATTGACCAAAGTTTTCAGAATAGCGGGCTGGAAATGTTCCTGTTGGCAGCAGGGGAGAGGACTGTATATTAGGAAACATTTTTTACAGTAAGAGTAACTGAACAGTGGAATGGGTGGTGAGCTCCCCCTCCCTGGCAGTCTTGAAGCAGCGGCTGGACAAACCCTTGTCAGGGATGCTCTAGGCCAGTGGTGGCGAACCTATGGCACGGGGGCCAGAGGTGGCACTCAGAGCCCTCTCTGTGGGCACGCGTGCCATCGCCCCAGCCAGGCCCAGACCGTCATTAAAGTGTCGAATTCTCCCTGCCAAATAATTTTAAGTAAATGAAAGAATTTGGGATTGCTTTCCTGACTTTGTTTGGATCATCTTAAGTTACATGTAGGAGTTGTTTTTTCTACAGTAAAACCTCAGTATTCAGGTTAAATGGCCGTGTTGGCAGTTTGCGATAAAGAAGTGGGTTTTGGGTCGCAGTTTGGGCACTCGGTCTCTAAAAGGTTCACCGTCACTGCTCTAGGCTGATCCTACATTGAGCCAGGGGGTTGGGCTAGATGTCCTTTATGGTACCCTTCCAACTCGATGATTCTGTGATTTCCACACAGGCTTTCTTGCCTTGTCCTCAGAACAGAGCTTCTGACATCGCTCAATTCTCTCAGGAGCAGTCCTCGAGAGAGCTCTCTCAGCCCCACCGACCTCACAGGGTGTCTGTTGCGAGGAGAGGAAGGGAAAGGAGATTGTAAGCTGCTCTGAGACCCCCTTGGGTAGTGAAGGGTGGGGTATAAATCCAATCTCCTCCTCCTCTCCTTCTCCACTCCTCCACATGCAGCTGCTGGATGACCTTGGGTAACCCATAGTTCCGTCAGGGCTGTTCTCTCAAGGACAGTTTCTGTCAAGAGCTCTCTCAGCCCCACCGACCTCACAGGGTGTTTGTTGTGGGGAGGGGAAGGGAAAGGAGTTTGTAAGCCGCTCTGAGACTCCCTCGGGTAGTGAAGGGCGGGGGATAAACCCAGTCTCCTCTTCTTATCTGTCCAGTTCTCTTTGCAGCTATGAATGCAACAGTATAAGCGACCAAATAAGCGCTGTGTGTACTTAGAGCGATAAGCAGAAAATTATCAGCCAGTGCCAGTAACAACTACGCATACATGTTTATCCATACATTATGGACTTCTGTCTTGAAATAACAGCGTTAACGGTCGTGCCGCAATATTGGTGGCGTTTCCTTGTTCTGTGACTTCTTCGCAGCACTGCTTTTGGATGCATTTAAGTTGCCTACGTCGGAATTAATTGTGTTTATGCAAAACTTGCTCCGAAACGCTCACATGTATGGATAAACGTGTCTGTGTCGTCGTTACTGGCGCTGACTGATTATTGTGTGCTTATCACTTTAAGTACACACAGCGCTCCTTTGGTTGCTGATAGCCTTGCACTGCGTTCCTGTCCTCGCTTTGTTATGAATGCAACGGAGGCGACGGAGCATCCGCAAAGCCCTTTCCTTCCCTCACCTTCCCCCCCCCCCCCCCCCCCCCCGCCCTGCGATTTGTATCCTCTCCCAGTGGAGGGCTTTTTCAATTCAGTACCTGACAGATTGGAGCTGCGGTGGCTCAAGTGGTGAAGACGCTAAACTGCAGGCTGTGGAAGGTCGGTAGTTCAGCCATTTGAGACCCGAGTGTGCCGCATGATGGAGTGAGCTCCCGTCTCTAGTTCCCGCTCCTGCCAACCTAGCAGTTCGAAAGCAAGGAATTGCAAGTAGATAAATAGGTACCGCTTCGGTGGGAAGGTAACAGCGTTCCGTGCGCCTTGGAGTTTAGTCATGCCGGCCACATGACCACGGAAACGTCTTCGGACAGCGCTGGCTCTTCGGCTTGGAAACGGAGATGAGCACCGCAACCATAGAGTCGGATTCGACTGGCTTTTGAGCAAGGGAACCTTTACCTTTACCTTTACCTGACAGATCGCTATAGTCCAACAACATTATAAATAACAATTGTAACTGTGGCAGAGCAGGCCCTGTTCCGTTCTGCAGGCCCGGTTCCACCCTGCCTTCCAAGGTTTCCCCAATGCCTGGAGAGGCTTTTCTCCCTCTCTCCGGTAACTCACCACCAGTGTTCCCTCTAAGCTGAGTTAGCGTGAGCCAGCTCACAGTTTTTTAGCCTCCGGCTCACACCTTTGTCTTGGCTCAAGAAGGAGGGCTCCAGAGCAAAGTAATTTATGCAGGAGCCAAACGGCTTGCTCCCAACTTTAATGCCGGTAGCTCACAAGGTAGAATTTTGGCTCACGGGACTCCACATCTTAGAGTCACCACCGTCACCTGACCATTGTAGGAATTGCTCGCTGGGAAGGTCTGGACCCCAGCTTCCTTTCCAAGATCTGAATCCTTGCCTTCTAGGGCAACTAGAATAATAAAAGGGCTGGGACACCTTTCCCTGCGAAGAAAGGTTAAAGGGCTCGGGGCTCTTTAGCTTGGATAAACGACGGCTGAGGGGTGACATGATCAAGGTTTATAAGATTATGAGTGGGATGGAGCAGGTCAAGAAAGAAGTACTTTTCTCCCTTTCTCACAATATAAGGACTTGTGGGCACTCCATGAAATTGCTGAGCAGTCGGGTTAGAACAGATAGAAGGAAATCCTTCTTCACCCAAGGAGTGATTCACACATGGAATTCACTGCCACAGGAAGTGGCGGCAGCTACAAGCATGGACGGCCTCCAGAGGGAATTGGATAAACAGAGGTCCATCAGTGGCTATTAGCCACAAGGCATAGACAGGAATTCGCAGTCTGGGGCAGGTGATGCTCTGTATTCCTGGTCCTTGGGGGGGCAACAGTGGGAAGGCTTCTAGTGTCCTGGCCCCTCTGCTGGACCTCCTGATAGCACCTGGTATTTTTGGCCACTGTGTGACACAGAGTGTTGGACTGGATGGGCCAGTTGGATGGATCCAACATTGTTTGGTGTAGTGGTTAAGTTCCCCCTTCTCCCTCCCCATGAAGCCTGCTGGGTGACCTTGGGCCAGTCACGGTTCTCTCTGAACTCTCTCAGCCTTGCCTACCTCACAAGGTGCCTGTTGTGGGGAGGGGAAGGGGAAGGCAATTGTAAGCCTCTCTGAGACTCCTTCGGGTAGAGAAAAACGGGATATAAAAACCAACTCTTCTCCTCTTCTTATGGTGACCCCAGAAACGGGCTTTCAAGGCAAAGGAGAAGCAGAGGTGGTTGGCCATTGCCAGAGCCTTCCTTGGTGGTCTCCCTTCCAAGTACTGACTCTGCTTAGCTTCCAACTTACGAGACCATAGCAAAGGGCTTTGAAGGCAAGGGAGAAACGGAGGTGGTTTGCCATTGCCGTCCTCTGCAGAGCCTTCCTTGGTGGTCTCCCTTCCAAGTACTGACTCTGCTTAGCTTCCAACTTACGAGACCATAGCAAAGGGCTTTGAAGGCAAGGGAGAAACGGAGGTGGTTTGCCATTGCCGTCCTCTGCAGAGCCTTCCTTGGTGGTCTCCCTTCCAAGTACTGACTCTGCTTAGCTTCCAACTTACGAGACCATAGCAAAGGGCTTTGAAGGCAAGGGAGAAACGGAGGTGGTTTGCCATTGCCGTCCTCTGCAGAGCCTTCCTTGGTGGTCTCCCTTCCAAGTACCGACCTTTCATGCTAATAATCTACCTTTTGCATGACATGAATTCTTCAACAGCACCAATGGTGGACTAGATGGATCTTCACTGTGATGTACTCTCAAACTTGTTTCAGCCCAGTTTATATATACTGGGCAGACATGCGTCCAGAGAAAGGCAAATCACGATACTAACCTAAAGCAACAGGTGGGAAAAGACAAGTAGCCAATGTTAACTGTTGGTTCTGAAAGGAAAGAAAACGGTACAAAAGAAAGGGCAGACCAGTGTTCCCTCTAAGCTGAGTCAGTGTGAGCTGGCGGACAGTTTTTTAGCCTCTGGCTCACACATTTTTGTCTCAGCTCAGGAAGGGTGGCTCCAGAGAAAACCAATTGATGCAGGAGCCCAGTCGCTCGGTCACACCTTTAATGCCAGGAGCTCACAAAGCAGAATTTTTGCTCACAAGACTCCGCAGCTTAGAGGGAGCATGGCTGCAGACCCAAGCGATGGTTTCTCGTGGGCCTCTTACGCCACCCCTAATGTTCAAAAGGGGAGGTGATCTCTTTGCAGCCTTATCGAATGCTCCATTTGGCTATGGACACACTGAAAGTGAAAACGACAGCCAGTTTCCTTGTTGTGAGCGGGCTCATGTGATACGACTGAGAAATTGAAACAATCCTCTCTGGTCAGTACAGCAGGCACGGTGCGCGAGGAGTTCAGTCGAGCGACGGCAAACGGCAAGGCAGGGGAGAAAGATCCCTTGGGAATTTGTGCTCTTGGGAGAGCTGGAATAGAAGAATCTCCCAGGCCTCACTTTCTGAGAGACGCTGAAGGTAGGTACGACCTAATCTTTTCGCCACGTTTCTCTCTTTTCAGGGCCCTGCCAAAGAGGAAGTGATTTCTTCTTTTGGCAACAGATGTCAGAGAACAATCGTGTCGCTTTTTTAATCTGAATAATCAAGGAAATCACAACATTCACTGAAAATAAGAGAGAGGCAATCTCAAACTCTGCCGTTTTGGTGTAGTGTCGTGGTTAAGTGCGCGGATTCTAATCTGGGAGACCCGGGTTTGATTCCCCACTCCTCCACTTGCACCTGCTGGATGACTTTGGGCAAGCCGTAGTTCTGATAAGAGCTGTCCTTGAAAAAAGAGCAGTTCCTGTCAGAACTCTCTCTCAGCCCCACCTGCCTCACCGGGTGTCTGTTGTGGGGAGGGGAAGGGAGAGGAGTTTGTAAGCCGCTCTGAGACACCTTCGGGTGGTGAAGAGTGGGGTATAAATCCAATCTCTTCTTCTCTTCTTCTTCTTCTGCTTGTATAAAATCAAAGCGTTACAGCCCACCCTTCACTATCGGAAGGAGTCTCAGAGCAGCTTACCGTCTCCTTTCCCTTCCCCTCCCCACAATAGATAGACACCCTGTGAGCAATGCTCCCTCTAAGCTGTAGAGTCTTGTGAGCAAAAATTCTACTTTGTGAGCTACTGGCATTAAAGTCGTGAGCGAGCAATTTGGCTGCTGCATAAATTAGTTTGCTCTGAAGCCCTCCTTCCTGAGCTAAGACAAAAATGTGTGAGCTGGAGGCTAAAAACATGTGAGCTAGCTCACACTAACTAAGCTTAGAGGGAACACTGCCTGTGAGGTAGGTGGGGCTGAGAGAGCCAGTTTGCGGTGGTTGAGTGCGCGGACTCTAATCTGGGAGAACCGGGTTTGATTCCCCACTCCTCCACTTGCAGCTGCTGGATGACCTTGGGCAAGCCTAACCAATGCTCCCTCTAAGCTGTGGAGTCCTGTGAGCAAAAATTCTACTTTGTGAGCTACTGGCATTAAAGTTGTGAGTGAGCAATATGGCTACTGCATGAATTAGTTTGCTCTGGAGCCATCCTTCCTAAGCTAAGACAAAAAAAATGTGTGAACCGGAGGTTAAAAAACTGTGAGCTAGCTCACACTAACTCAGTTTAGAGGGAACATTGGTCCTAACAGTCTCCAAAGGATAGTCTTTAAAAAACACACCTGTAAATAAACCCCCCCCAAAAAAAGCAGGAAAGAGAGGTTTGTTGGTCTTTCTGTCTGCTGTTGCTGCTTTTATATTTACCACTGAACAAGACAGGACCACACAATTGCCAAAGGAATAACAGAAAGAAAGATCAGATTTAAGAAAAGTCCGCTCACAAGAAGAGAAGAAGAGATTGGATTTATACCCCGCCCTTCACTACCTGAAGGAGTCTCAGAGCGGCTGACAAACTCCTTCCCCTTCCCCTCCCCACAACAGACACCCGGTGAGGCAGGTGGGGCTGAGAGAGCCAGTTTGGTGTCGTGGTGAAGTGTGCGGACTCTAATCTGGGAGAACCGGGTTTGATTCCCCACTCCTCCACTTGCAGCTGCTGGATGACCTTGGGCAAGCCATAGTTCTGGCACAGCTGTTCTTGAAAAAGAGCAGTTTCTGTCAAGAGCTCTCTTTACAGGTGTGTAACCACGACACCGAACCGGAAGGCACCGGAAACGGAATTCCAGACCCTCTCTGACAGAATCCTTTTTAAAATCTTTAAGAGTTCACGAGTTTTCAGTGTACGGATTGAGAGTTCCGGACCTGTTTTCAAAATAAAAGCCCTGAGCAAAGCTGTATGTTTGAACGTTTGAAACTCACTCCTGTTGCAGAAGAAATGTTCCTACATATGTAACTAAACCTTGGCCTTTGAAGGAAGTGAACAAAAACAAAAATCCCCGCTTGCTGCCCACGGTTTTTCTTCGTAGCTGAGTAAGCAATACCATGAAAGCATTTCCTTCTTTCACAAACGCTGAATGCTGTGCCTTAGCATGTGAAAGAATAACTCCAGGATGGCGGCACAGACAATACAGTTTGGACCTGGGTTCATATCAGTCAAGGGCGTTGGCGGTTTCGAGAAAGTAACCGTATCTCAGATTTCAGTGTCTCCTGTTTATAATAAACGATCCTCCAGGGCGTGCACAAGCAGGGTACTTTAATAATAACGGAGTCATATCAGCGCAGGACATGTTTTGCATTCCAGGGGTCATTTTGTAGAAAAAGAGGTGCAGGACCTCATTAGCATAACTTATTTGCATAGGCCACACCCCCTGCCATCACCGGAAGTGTGTCAGAAGGCAACACCCACCGCTCAGGCTCCACTGGACTGTTTTGGATTGCTAGCTGTTGGGGGGGGGGACGTGCAGATCTGTCCTCGCAGAGGAGGGAGAGCTTGTACCTGAATAAAACTTGGTCTTGAAGGTGCCACTGGACTGTTTTGGATTGCTAGCTATTGAGAGGGGGGGATGTGCAAATCTGTCCTCGCAGAGGAGGGAGAGCTTGTACCTGAACAGATACTACACTTGATCTTAGCCAAAAGGCCGAGAAGCTTGTACCTGAATAAAACTTGGTCTTAAAGGTGCCACTGGACTGTTTTGGATTGCTAGCTATTGAGGGGGGGGGGAACGTGCAGATCTGTCCTCGCAGAGGAGGGAGAGCTTGTACCTGAATAAAACTTGGTCTTAAAGGTGCCACTGGACTGTTTTGGATTGCTAGCTATTGAGGGGGGGGAACGTGCAGATCTGTCCTCACAGAGGAGGGAGAGCTTGTACCTGAATAAAACTTGGTCTTAAAGGTGCCACTGGACTGGTTTGGACTGAGGGGCTGGGGGGGGGCTCTGCAGCTTACCTGGCTGCTTCTTGCTCTGACTGAGGGCTGCTAGGAGCAGGGGGCGGGGTTTGTTGCATGTGCCCGCCGCCTGGGCTCTTTGCTGCCGGAGCTCCGCTCCTGTGCGCTCCGTCAGGAAATGACCCCGAGTTAATGTAAATGTTGTGCATCCCAAGTGTAATATCCTAGACTCCCTGTAGCCTGTGCTCTCTCTCTCTCCTCTAAAGGAAGCGCGTCTCCGCAAGATGGAATTGGGGCTTTGGGTCGTCCTGGCATATGCTGCGTTGGCATCGGCGAGCTGGCAGAAGGACACCATGCTGGACCACCACTGGGAGCTTTGGAAGAAAAAACACAGCAAGGAATACCGGAACGAGGTGAGGGCGCCGCAGGCCGTAGTCCTCGGGCTTCGGAGAAGTTTTTTCTCCATCACCCCAAAGACTAGAACAAATTCTCCCAGAGAGGTTTTGCCCACAAACCGGAGTGTCGCCCCCCACGTGCCTACGTCACTTCTAGTTCACTTGAGAGCAAGTAGTGGTTAAGTGTGCGAACTCTAATCTGGGAGAACCGGGGTTGATTCCCCACTCCTCCACTTGCACCTGCTGGATGACCTTGGGCAAGCCGTAGTTCTGTCAGAGCTGCTTCTTGAAAAAAAGAGCAGTTTCTGTCAGAGCTCTCTCAGCCCCACCTGCCTCATCGGGTGTCTGTTGTGGGGAGGGGAAGGGAAAGGAGTTTGTAAGCCACTCTGAGACACCTTTGGGTAGTGAAGGGCGGGGTATAAATCCAATCTCTTCTCTTCTTCTTCTTCGGGTAGTGAAGGGCAGGCTATCAATTCAATCTCTTCTTCTTCTTCTTCTCTAATCTGGGAGAGCCGGGTTTGATTCCCCACTCCTCCACTTGCACCTGCTGGATGACCTTGGGCAAGCCACAGTTCTGACAAGAGCTCTCAAGGGAAGTTCTCGAGAGAGCTCTCTCGGCCCCGCCTACCTCACAGGGTGTCTGTTGTGGGGAGGGGAAGGGAAAGGAGTTTGTAAGCCGCTCTGAGACTTCTTTGGGTAGTGAAGGGCGGGGTGTAAATCCAATCTCCTCCTCCTCCTCCTCCTCCTTCTTCTGTTGTGTTTATTTCCGGCTTCTTCCCTCCCTCCTCCCAATCAGTTCACCCTCATCCAATGGACCTGGCAACCAATGTTCCCTCTAAGCTGACTTAGTGTGAGCTAGCTCACAGTTTTTTAGCCTCCGGCTCACAAATCTGTGTCTTAGCTCCGGAAGGAGGGCTCCAGAGCAAACTCATTTGTGCAGCAGCCAAATCATTCGCTCACAACTCTAATGCCAGTAGCTCACAAAGTAGAATTTTTGCTCACAAGACTCCACAGCTTAGAGGGAGTATTAGCAGCCAGGTTGTGTAAGAAGTGCAGAGTATAGATGGAACACCTTATCTGGGGCATCGATGCTCTGTCTTCTTGGTGCTTGGGGGGGCAAGAGTGGGAGGGCTTCTGGAGTTCTGGCCCTGCTGGTGGACCTCCTGAGGGCACCCGGTATTTTTGGCCACTGTGTGACAGACAGAGTGTTGGACTGGAGGGGCCACTGGCCTGATCCAACATGGCTTCTCTTGTGTTCTTATGTCTGGGGCAGTGATGCTCTGTCTTCTTGGTGCTTGGGGGGGGGCTTCCGTGGGAGGGCTTCTGGAGCTCTGGCCCCACTGGTGGACCTCCTGATGGCACCTGGTATTTTTGGCCACTGTGTGACACAGAGTGTTGGACTGGATGGGCCACTGGCCTGATCCAACATGGCTTCTCTTATGTTCTTATGACCAAAAAAAAGTTCAAGATTTCTGGAGGATTAAGACTGAAACATAAATGGTTTCCATAACATTTTCTTCTGGTTTATGTGGTAAACGGGGGCTTCTGCTTTGATTTCTAGAAAGAGGAAGATAATCGCCGGATGACTTGGGAGAAGAACTTGAAATTCATCACGCTGCATAATCTCGAACACTCTCTGGGGCTGCATTCCTACGACCTGGGCATGAACCATCTTGGTGATATGGTTAGTAAAGACCAGGGCTTCTTTTGTAGAAAAAGCCCAGCAGGAACTCATTAGCATAACAGGCCACACCCAACAGCAGAAACTCATTAGCATTTTAGGCCACACCCCTTACAGCACAGCTCATTAGCTTATTAGGCCACACCCCCATGCATTCCCTTGGCTGCGGGGAGCCCGGGCAAGCCAGCCCTTAGAGGGGAGGGGAGACAGTTTAAACTGCCTTCCCTTGGCTTGCCCTTGGACAGGCCGGGGAAGGCACTGGAGGCATTTAAATGTCTCCCCAATCCTTCCAGGGCCCCCCTGGCCCGCCCATCTCAGAGTTGCCAGGGTGGTCGCTCTCCAGGCCTTCCCTCTGTAGCCAGGCACGCAGAGGTTTTGGCGTGGCCAACTCTGAAGCCAGCCGGAACTCCGTTCCTGTGCGTTCCTGCCCAAAAAGACTTATTATGTAGAGGGCCCCCAAAAGTACTCTTCTACAGGTTGGGAAATACCTGGAGATTTTGAAGAAGAAGAAGAGAAGAGAGAAGAGATTGGATTTATACCCCACCCTTCACTACCCAGAGGAGTCTCAGAGCGGCTTACAAACTCCTTTCCCTTCCCCTCCCCACAACAGACAGAAACTGCCCTTTTTCAAGGACAGCTCTGACAGAGCTACGGCTTGCCCAAGGTCATCCAGCAGGTGCAAGGGGAGGAGTGGGGAACCAAACCCGGTCCTCCCAGATTAGAGTCTGCGCACTTAACCACTACACCAAAGTTAAGTCTTCCTCCCTCTCCCCATCTCTTTGCCCTCTTTCTTTCCCTCCTTTCCGTCTCACCCCTGCTCTTTCTTTTCCTTCTTTCCTTTATCTCCTTTTCCCCTTCTCTCCCTCCTTTCGTTCTCTCCTTTTCGTCTTTCCCTCCTTTCTTCCCTTCTCTTTCTTTCTTTCCCTCCTTCTTTCCTTCTCTTTCTTTCCCTCTTTCCTTCTCTCTACTCTCTCTCTTTCCTTCCCTCTTCCCTCTTTCCTCCTTCTGCGGCCCAACTCTAGTGAGAAGGGGTTTAAACTTTAAACCATTTCTCTCTTCGCTCCCCCCCACCCCCGCAGGCTGGCTGGGGAAGGGAAGGGGAGGTTTTTGAAGATGCCTCCCCCCCTTTTGCTTCCCCTTCTGACATCACGTCCGGTGATGTCAGGGGGTGTGGCATATGCTAATAGCCTAGTAGCTCATTAGCATACCATATGCTAATGAGTTCCTCCAGCTCTTTTTCCATGAAATGACCCCTGAGTTTAAGAGTGATCTAAGTGAACGGTGTCTTTCAGCCCAATTTATATTCAGGGCTTTTGTGTGCGTGTTTTTAAAATATGTGCATTTGTGTGTGCATGTGAGTGTGTGTGTGCAACTGGGAGTCATGGCGACCTCTGGGGACTGACCCCCACTGGGGGCCTGGAGGATATTCAGAGAGGTGGCTGAATGAAGCCTGCCCCTGCCTCCAGCCTCTGGTATTCCAAGGAGGTCTCCCATCCAAGTTCCTGCCAGAGTCGACCCTGTTTAGTTTCCGAGATCTGACGAGATCGGGCTTGTCTGGGCTATCCAGGTGAGGGCATATTCGGGGTTATTGAAGGGATAAAAGGGAGGAGAAACCATGATTATCCCGAGCTCCTTGGGTGAAAACTGGAATAAAAATCAACAATAATTTTTTAAAAAAATCTGTGCTCCTTTATGTAGACCAGCGAGGAAGTGGCTACTAAGCTCACAGGGCTGAGAACTGATCCCGGATACTCATGGAAACAGAACTCTACATCTTTCGTGTCAAAATCAGCGGTAGGAGTCCCTGATTCCATAGACTGGAGGGACAAAGGATGCGTCACAGAGGTGAAGTTACAGGTAAGAGAGTCTGTCTTGTTTCTTGTCGAAGGCTTTCACAACCGGAGTTCATTAGCTGTTATAGATTTCCCAGGTTGTCTGGCCGTGGTCTTGGCATTGTAGGACCTGACGTTTCGCCAGCAGCTGTGACTGGCATCCTCAGAGGTATAACACCGAAAGATGGAGTACCCTCTGTGTCACAGTGAGAAGAAAAAATGGTAGGCAGGTCATTTATATCTACTCAGGAAGGTGGGGTAGGGCTGAGTCATTCTCTTGTAGGAGTTCCCCAGGCTGTGACCATGCTAATGGAGGAGCTTTCCTGAGGAGGTTCTTTTGCATATGGATTGTTTCCTGAGGAGGTTTCCTGAGGAGGGTCTTTTGCATGTGGATTGGCTGTTGAAATTCTAATCTTATCTGTAGTGCTACTGTCAGACGTAGAGCCTTTTGTGTTTTTCAGGGCAGGAAACCGTCCCCTATTTATTTTTAAACTCTCTTCTTCCCTGTTGAAATTGTGTTTATGTTTATGAATTTCAATGGCTTCCCTGCGTAATCTGACATGGTGATTGGAAGTGTTGTCCAGCCTTTCAGTGTCTTTGAACAAAATGCTGTGTCCTGTTTGAGTCAGGCTGTGCTTGTTTTCTTTTAGCCTTTTGATACTGTCCGTGGGGTTTTCTTGGCAAAAATACTGGAGTGGGTTGCCATTTCCTTCTCCAGGGGAGACTGAACAACAAAAAAATGCTTGTTTTCTCACAAAGATATGGCGGCGTTCGACGCGGTCGATTATGATCTTTTGACCCACCGCCTCACCGATGTAGGCGTTCGCGGGGTTCTCCTTCAGTGGCTCACAGAGGGTGGCGCTCAGAGAGAAGGTGTCCTTGAAATACCTCTTTGAGTGCAGGGTCCCTCAGGGGGCACTTCTGTCCCCGATGTTATTTAACATCTGTATGCGCCCCCTTGCCCAGCTGGCACGGAGACTCAGGCTTGAGTGTCACCGATATGTCGATGACGCCCAGTTGTTTCTGCTTTTGGATGGTTAAAAAAGAGCAGGTTGAAACGGAATCTGACAAAGACAGAGGTTCTGTGGCTGGAGGGGAGGGGCTTCAGGGCTCGGGTTTAGCTTACCGGCCCTTGACGGGGCGCCACTGACACCGGTGCACTGACCCGTAGCTAACATGGGGCCCACGGCCCCCTAGTGTTTCTTCTGGCCCCCCTCTCCTGGGCTGCCCCCAAAATGCTCCAACTTACCACCTACACTGTAAAAAGCTAAAGGTAAAGGCTTCACTTGCTCGAAAGCCAGTCGAATCTGACTCTAGGGTTGCGGTGCTCATCTCCGTTTCAAAGCTGAAGAGCCAGCACTGTCCAAAGACGTTTCCGTGGTCATGTGGCCGGCATGACTAAACACCAAGGCGCACGGAACGCTGTTCCCTTCCCACCGAAGCGGTACCTATTTATCTCCTTGCAATTCCTTGCTTTCAAACTGCTAGGTTGGCAGGAGCTGGAACTAGAGACGGGAGCTCACTCCGTCATGCGGCACACTCGGGTCTCGAACTGCTGAATGACCGACTTTCTACAGCCTGCCGTTCAGCGTCTTAACCACTTGAGCCACCTGTAATAAATGCTAAGTAATAAATAAACTTCCGGCTTTGCTGTGTCTGATAGCCTCTCTCTTTTAGGGTGCCTGCGGTTCCTGTTGGGCCTTCAGTGCCGTCGGGGCTCTGGAATGCCAGTGGAAACTCAAAACCGGACAGCTGATCTCCCTGAGTCCACAGAACCTTGTGGACTGCTCCAGTATGTACGGGAACCACGGATGTAACGGAGGCTTCATGACCTACGCTTTCCAATATATCATTGATAATAAAGGTATCGACTCAGAAGCATCCTACCCGTACACAGGCCAGGTTTGTATCATTTTATATAGCTTAAGAACATAAAAGAGAGGCCATGTTGGATCAGGCCAATAGACCATGCAGTCCAACACTCATTGTGTCACACAGTGGCCCAAACCCGGGGGCCACCAGGAGGTCCACCAGTGGGGCCACAACTCCAGAAGCCCTCCCCCTCTTGCCCCCCCCAGCCCCAAGAAGACAGAGCATCCCATGCCCCAGACAGAGGAACATAAGAGAAGCGAGGTTTGATCAGGCCAATGGCCCATCCAGTCCAACACTCTGTGTCACACAGTGGCCCAAACCCGGGGGCCACCAGGAGGTCCACCAGTGGGGCCACAACTCCAGAAGCCCTCCCCCTCTTGCCCCCCCCAGCCCCAAGAAGACAGAGCATCCCATGCCCCAGACAGAGGAACATAAGAGAAGCGAGGTTTGATCAGGCCAATGGCCCACCCAGTCCAACACTGTGTCATACAGTGGCAGAAACCCAGGGGCTACCAGGAGGTCCACCAGCAGGGCCAGAACTCCAGAAGCCCTCCCACTGTGTGTCCCCCCAAGCACCAAGAATACAAAGTGTCACTGCCCCAGACATAAGGACATAAGAGAAGCCATGTTGGATCAAGCCAATGGCCCACCCAGTCCAAAACTCTTGTGTCACATAGTTGCCCAAACCCAGGGGCCATCAGGAAGTCCACCAGCAGGGCTAGAACCCCAGACGCCCTTCCATTCTTGCACCCCCCCAAGCACCGAGTAGACAGAGCATCACTGCCCCAGATAGAGTGTTCCATCTGTAGCTTGTGGCTAATAGCCACTGATGGACCTCTGCTCTTAAGGACACAAGAGAAGCCAGTGTTGGACCAGGCCAATGGCCCACGCAGTCCAACACTGTGTCACACAGTGGCCAAAACCCAGGGGCCATCAGAAGGTCCACCAGCGGGGCCAGAACTCCAGAAGCCCTCCCACTGTTGCCCCCCAAGCACCCAGAAGACAGAGTATCACTGCCCCAGACATAGTCTTCCCTCTGTACCCTGTGGCTCATAGCCACTGATGGATCTCCTCTTGGCCTTGTGACCCACCTGTGAGTGAGTTGCTTTTACTGATCAAATCAAAGAGTAATTAGCACATGGAATTCACTGCCGCAGGAAGTGGTGGCAGCTACAAGCACCGACAGCTTCAAGAGGGGGTTGGATAAACATATGGAGCCCTCCCGTTGCTGTCTCAGCTCACTCTGTTTGCTATCTTATGCTTGACCTTGTAGATGCTCCAGCTGCAGTTTACTCGGCTGGGAAAGGTAACAGCTTTTTTCCTTTGCCCGCTTGCTGTGCCCGTGCGCACAAGATGTATCCATTGGCTCATGCTTCTAGGGGGGGGGGGGGATGAACTACCGACCTTCCACAGCCTGCAGTTCAGCGTCTTAACCACTTGATCCACCGCAGCTCCTCACCTGCACTGTACTTCCATTTAATTAGCTGGCAGGCCCCCTGAGGTCCCCTCCGCCAAAATTCCCTAGCTACAGGGCTGCCGGCGCCGTCCGTCAAGAGCCTGGGTGTAATCTTGGATACCTCCCTTAATATGCAGGCCCGGGTCACACATACCACCAGGCTGGCATTTCCCCCTCTATGCCAAGCCCGGCAGCTGGCCCCTTTCCTGTCGCGCTCAGACCCGGACACAGTAATCCACGCGACGGTCACCTCCAGGGCTAGACTACTGTAACTCGCTCCATGATGGCCTGCCCTTGAAGACTGACCCAGAAGCTCCAACTGATCCAAAATGCACTGGCACGTGTCCTAACAACAGGGCAGAGAGGCTGAGGCCTTCCCTTGATGTTGCCTCCTGGCTCTGGGATTCAGAGGCTTAGAGCCTCTGAAATATGGAGGTTCCCCTCAGTCACCACAGCTAAGTAACCATTGATAGACTTACCCTCCATGAATCTGTCTAATCCTCTTTTAAAGCTGTTTATTCCTGTGGCCATCACAACATCCTCTGGCTGCAAATTCCACACTTTAATCACTTTCTGTGTAAAGTAGTATTTCCTTTTGTCCATCTTGAACCTACTACCCATCAGCTTCGTTGGATGCCCCCAGTTCTAGTCTTCTGGGAGAGGGAGAAGAAGTTCTCTTTGTCAACTCTCTCCACCGCACCTGTCATTTTATAAATCTCTCTCGTGTCCCCTCTTAGTTGTCTCTTTTCTAAACGGAAAAGTCCCAGACTCGTCAGCCTTTCCTCCTAGGGAAGCGGCTCCAACCCCTTCATCATCTTGGTTGCCCACCGCTGTACTTTTTCCAGCTTTGCAATGTCCTTTCGGAGATACACAAGACAAGAACTCGTGGGGCACTCCATGAAATTGCTGAGCAGTCAGGTTAGAACACATAAAAGGAAGTACCTCTTCACCCAAAGAGTGATTCACGCGTGGAATTCACTGCCACAGGAAGTGGTGGCGGCTACAAGCATGGACGGCTTCAAGGGGGAATTAGATAAGCATATGGAGCAGAGGTCCATCAGTGGCTATGAGCCACAAGGCAGAGATAGGGGCTCTGAGGCAAGGGATGCTCTGTCTTCTTGGTGCTGGGGGGGAGCAACAGTGGGAGGGCTTCTGGTGTCCTGGCCCCGCTGCTGGACCTCCTGGTAGCACCTGGTGTTTTTGGCCACTGTGTGACAGAGTGTTGGACTAGATGGGCCATTGGCCTGATCCAACATGGGCTTCTCTTACGTTCTTATGTTAAGAGTAGAGGTCCATCAGTGGCTATTAGCCACAAGGTATAGATAAGAACTCTCAGGCTGGGGCAAGGGATGCTCTGTATTCTTGGTGCTTGTGGGGCGGGGGCAACAGTGGGAGGGCTTCTAGTGTCCTGGCCCCACTGCTGGACCTCCTGATGGCCCCTGGTATGTGTGTGTGACACAGAATGTTGGACTGGATGGGCCGTTGGACTGATCCAACGTTGGCTTCCCTTACATTCTTATGTCTGGGGCAAGGGATGCTCTGTATTCTTGGTGCTTGGGGGGGGGGGACAGTGGGAGGGCTTCTAGTGTCCTGGCCCCACTGCTGGACCTCCTGATGGCACCTGGTATTTCTGGCCACTGTGTGACACAGAGTGTTGGACTAGATGGGCCATTGGCCTAATCCAACACTGGCTTCTCTTATGTTCTTATGTATTCATACGGTGACCAGAACTGTACACTGTATTCCAAACAAGGGTGTATATTTATAGGTAGCAATACTTTAAGAAGAAAATTAGGTTTCAGGTTTTTGTCTCGCTGCTTTTACGGATGATCATAGAACCCAAATCGCACAGATCTAGAAATCTCACCTAATCTTCTGAGACTTCCATGCACAGAAAATCTGATCTGCCTATCACGGTAGTAGATATTTCTGGAAAAATATCAACCTTATCCTTTTCTAAATCTGTTCTATCGTGATCATACGATTATTATCGAGAGAAGTGATTGGTTCTTCACTATGATAGAATCAACACAAGTGCAAAGGAGCCAATCAGCGAGTTACCATCTGACACAGCGAGATAAGGCCGATCTCAACTCTTAACCTCTATTAAAAAGCAATTAGTTTAACTTTTGTGTAACCGTTCCAATTAACTGTCAAAGATTAAAGTTACCTGAGGCAAGAGGTCGCTGGCAGTTGAAGAGAGCTTGAACTCGTGGTGAACATGCAAAATCAGCAGGGGAAAAGTGGGTGAAATCACAATTATCGCCAGAGGGTAAATAAGGAAAAGAGGCTCCGTGGCAGGTCTGTGTTTGCTGTGGCAAAAACAGGCAGAACGTCCATGAGATACAGGTTGTTGCTCGGTAATGCTACGTTTATAAATATTAAAAATGCAAAATATAATAGGATAATAATTATTATTATCGTATGGCATTGTGTATAGAATACGTGTGTGGAGATCCTAAGATTGTCCGGCAGCCACAAGTTCTAGCTCTTAACGTTGTGCTAGTGGCGAGCTAGACTTGCTTTGACAAGCTGAGAGAGCTCTGAAAGAACTGTGACTTAAAATAGTATGAGAAGAAGAAGAGAGGAGATCGGATTTATACCCTGCCATTCACTACCCGAAGGAGTCTCAGAGTGGCTTACAATCACCTTTCTCTTCCTGTCCCCACAACAGACACCCTGTGAGGTAGGTGGGGCTGAGAGAGCTCTCTCGAGGACTGCTCCTGACCCAAGGTCACACCAGCAGATGCATGTGGAGGAGTGGGGAATCAAACCCAGTTCTCCCAGATTAGAGTCCGCGCTCCTGACCACTATACCAAACTGGCTCTCTGAGGTTGGTCCCCATGTCGGTCTGAAGCAGCAGAACGAAGTTTGAGTCCCGTCGCCCCTTTAAGACCAAGAGTTCAATCAGACGGCTCTTTAGATCTGCACGAGGCACGATCGCCTCACGGATCTAAAGGTAATGTCCAGACACAAACATCTGGGAAATGTCCCTCTTCCGTGGGCATCCTGTTTTGCCGCGCTCCGGAGCCGTACTTAAAAGATAGCACTCTAAATCTGGGGGTTTGGGTTACCTGAGGGACAACTGAGGACTTTCACCTGTCTGATCGTTCCATCAGCGCGCAATCCTAGCGTCGGGGTGGTCTGATGTCAGACCATCCCGAGCGGGCGCCATATAAAAAAATCTCTACACATGTGCAAGGACGCGCTGTGACGCTATGCGCATGCGCAAAAAGTTTTTTTAGAAAAACCCACCGTGCATGCCTCCTTCAGCGGACGCCGTCTAGACAATCCACAACGGAGGCAGCGCGCGGTAAGGCGATTCCCGCGGGGGATGTCTGGTCGTGCTACGATGGATTAAAAAGATTGGGATAAAATTCAAGCTGGCATAATGGCGGGATTAGCTGCCCGTCTGAACGCACTCCAACAAAGTTTTATTCTGGGTATAGTATGGCGTTAGGTAAAGGTAAAGGTTCCCTTGCTCGAAAGCCAGTCGAATCCGACTCTAGGGTTGCGGTGCTCATCTCCGTTTCAAAGCCAAAGAGCCAGCACTGTCCGAAGACGTTTCCGTGGTCATGTGGCCGGCACTAAAATGACAGGAATAAAACTCAGGATTTTTGCATAGCGCAAGCAGGTGTTCCACCACTGAGCCACAGCCTCTTCGCTAAGTTTTCGGTTTGTTTCAGTTCCTGAAATTTCAGTGTCTCAACAACCTGCTTCGCTCAAGCCAGGGCCTCAGAAACAATTTGAAAACGTAGCTAAAATAATTAAGTAGGAAGAAGATGGAAATGTGGTTCTATGACAAAAAGGTCTACCATAACATAAAATGTGATGTTTTATTTATTAGAGAATGATATTATTCCTCCAGACCCTGCGTATGAAGAGATATTGTATGCACAGTGTATTGCAAGACAACTTTTATTACCTTTTTTATCGCCTTTTGTTCACCTGTAAATATTTATACCTCGCTGAAGTTTCCAAAATAAAATTGCATCACATTATCTTTAAACGCTTCATCCCCTTAAGATGGAACTCTGTTGCAAATATTATAGAACAGTGAGAGAGGGGGAAGATTTTCTTTGGAACATTTCAGTTTAAAAGAAGCAAGGAAAGCTAAACATTTTTAGTCTTAAAAATTCTTTAAAAACAAAGAGCTTTACTTTTGTTCAGATGTGCTGGTGCCAAAAAGCACATTTCAAAAATCATCACCATCCCGCTTTCTGCTTCCGGAAGCCAAAAATATGAAACATAAAACAAAATCTGGGTCTCCCGCATACCAGACAGGCGACTTAACCACTACACCAATTAGTGTTGATCAGGGCTCTTTTTGTAGAAAAAGCCCAGCAGGAACGCATTAGCATAATAGACCACACCCAACAGCAGAAACTCATTAGCATATTAGGCCACGCCCTGACAACACAGCTCATTAGCATATTAGGCCGCACCCCCCGTGTTGTAAATAGTTACAAGAATGGGCACAGTGATGAGACAAATGAAAAATGGAAAGGAACTGTGACAATTTAGCGCTTAATAATATATTCATAAATCATAATGTACAATAACAGAAATATAAATAGAAATAGTGAATGTAGTAGACGGTGGTCTCCGGAATGATGTGCCGTTTCGAAGATGATCTTCTTCTGAACAAGGAGGTGTACATAAACTGTCCTTCAACAATTCATTTCTTTTGGTGACGTATTGACAATATACTGTTGATTCACTTCATCATAAAGCTATGCTTACAGCTATGTTCTTCAATGGGCTATGGTTGCTGAACATTATGATTTATGAATATATTATTAAGCGCTAAATTGTCACAGTTCCTTTCCATTTTTCATTCGCACCCCCATGTTACCAGAAGTGTCGTCATCCAGCCACACCCACCTTTTGCTTCTTATTCTGTTTACCGTGTTTGTTGTCAACACCCAGGGCTTTTTTTGTAGCAGGGACTCCTTTGCATGTTAGGCCACACACCCCTAACGTAGCCAATCCTAATGAGTTCCTGCTGTTGGGTGTGGCCTATCATGCTAATGAGTTCCTGCTGGGTGTGGCCAACGTGGGAGCCAGCCGGAACTCCGTTCCTGTGCGTTCCTGCCCAAAAACAACCCTGGTGTTGATCTGAATAATGTTATAATTTTGAGGGAAAACACTAGAGAGAACCCGTTCTGTCTCACTGTTGCTAAGCCGGAACTGGAGAACGCTGCAGCTTGTCGAGCCGAAAGTCAGCTTTGATATTTAGTAATCAAGTTTTTTTAAAATTATCAAAAAATAATCAAAAAAGACAAAAAGGTCTAGCATTCTGGAGAGCGCTAAGATGTCTCTTGCTTTGTCTGATCTCTGCCCCCTCCAGGTGGGACCCTGCCGCTATGACCCGAGTGCGCGGGCGGCCACTTGCTCTAGATACGTTCTGCTGCCAGAGTTTGATGAAGCCGCCCTGAAGGCTGCCGTGGGCACGGTCGGCCCTGTGTCCGTCGCTGTAGACGCGACGAAAGAAACGTTCTTTCTGTACAAGTCAGGTGAGTCCTCCTAACGTCCTTTCCGACATCACGTTTTGCACTAGGAAACGAGGAAAGAACCCTCCCACGTCCCAGCGAGGTCACCCGTTTTTTACAGGATAAAGTGTGACGAAATTCCGTTATCCTGTGAGGGAGCCAGTTTGGTGTCGTGGTTAGGAGTGCGGACTCTAATCTGGGAGAACCGGGTTTGATTCCCCACTCTTCCACATGCAGCTGCTGGTGTGACCTTGGGCCACTTACAAGTTCTGTCAAGGTCGGTCCTCGAAAGAGCTCTCTCAGCCCCACCTGCCTCACAGGGTGTCTGTTGTGGGGAGGGGAAGGGAAAGGAGATTGTAAGCCGCTTGGAGACTCCTTTGGATAGTGAAGGGTGGGGTATAAATCCAATCTCCTCCTCCTCCTCTTCTTCTTTTTACTTTATACCCCACGTTTCTCCGCTGTGGGGATTCATAGCAGCTTACATTGAGAGCTTTTTTCCTGGGGAAACATGCCAGAGTGAAGTTCCGGAACCCTCTTCGGCAGAATTCTTTTAAAAACGTTTAACAGTTCATGGGTTTTCAGTATACAGATTGAAAACTTCATTTCCCTCTTGAGAGTCCCGGCACCTCTTTTTCCAAAAAAAGGCCCTGCTTATCTCCTTCTCCTCTTTTGCATTTTATCCTCACAACAACCCTGTGAGGCAAGTGAGGCTGAGAGAGCGTGACTGGCCCAAGGTCACCCGGTGAGCTTCCATGGCATGGGTAGGAATTCGAACCTGGGTTTCCCAGACGCTAGTCCGACACTCTTAACTCCTACACCACACTGGCTCTCTCACTCTTTATCACTGCATGGTTTCTGAACAGGGTCGCCAGCAACCTGGAGGAAAGGACGTCTTGCCTCTTTTAACAGAGGCTTGATGTGCAGAAATGGGAAGTTGACGCTTTTCACAGCATGGAGGTAAATAGCGCATGTAACCCCTTGAGTCCCAAGGGCCAGGCTCAAAGGCTAGGGCAATGTTCAGAAACTCAAAACGCAAATCCAACTTGTTTAAATACAACAGGAAGCGACTGCGGGAACCTTTCCCTAAGATATCAGTCCTGGTTCACGAACCGGTGTCCCCGAGCAAAGTCCTACTCACGATTGCCCTAGGAGCAGTTCCCCTTTTTCCCTGGTAAGACAAAGTGCGGCAGCTCTGTACGAGGGTGCTGGTTTCAGTGCAGTCAATAAAGAATTCAACTGTCATTGGTTCTTGCTTTCCCCACTACTGCAGCTCTTCCCGAAAGGATTGTTATATTCTTCCCAGGTAGCAATTTCAGCTGTCTTTTATGTCCTTTCTGGATCCGAAGCCTGTAAGACAAGAGACTGCTGCATTGCAACTGATAATGAAGCTCAAGACAATGCATCCACCTGGACCGAATCAAGACCTAGGTTTCCTGTCTCACTGCCAACACTGATTTCTCTACTACCGCTCTGCATATCACAACTAATCCAATCACATCTGCTATTGTCATTTGCCTGCTAATGTAATTTGGCATCTGAAATCGCTCCACTTTCCAATATATGGGACAGATGGACTCACATTCCAGCTGTATCTAAAGAAGTGAGCAGTGACTCACAAAAGCTCATCCCCTGCCACAAATTTTTGTTAATCTTTAAGGTGCTACTGGACTCTTGCTCTTTTGCAGTAAGACAAACTTTGGCCTTCAAAGAGCACTCTCAATCCATCTGCCCTTGTCCTTTCAGCTAGCCCAGCCTCCCTTTATACCACCTCTCATTGTCATGGTGGCTCTTCCAAAAGCATGCCCCATGAGCCTTTGCTAAATATGCAAATTAACACAAGCATCTGTACACATCAGCTATCTGCTAGTCCAGTCTGGCATCAGGTCTATCTAAGTATCTGTGGTCTACTAATCAGACCTAGGCCCCAGCCCCTTTTCCCCCAGTACAGGTTTAAACATACTGCTCTCGACCTCTAGGTGGCGCCCAGAGATCTCCTGGAAATACAACTGCTCTCCAGACAGAGAGAATTGTTAAAAATCTGCAGGGCCGATCAACTCTCCAATGGGCAGTAGCGACCCCTGACCTTGAAGCCAGAAAACTGTCTAAAGGTTAACATACCCTACTGAAGAGAGGGTTCCAAATGCAGAAGGTGTTGAACTGCAGTAAAAGGGGAGGTGCATACATAACACGGGTCATTTCGTAGAAAAAGAGGTGCAGGAGCTCATTAGCACAACTCATTAGCATAACTTATTTGCATATGCCACACCCCCTGACATCACCGGAAGTGTGTCAGAAGGCGACACCCACCACTCAGGCTCCACTAGACTCTTTTGGATTGCTAGCTATTGGGGGGGGGGGGACGTGCAGATCTGTCCTCGCAGAGGAGGGAGAGCTTGTACCGGAATAAAACTTGGTCTTAATGGTGCCACTGGACTGTTTTGGACCGGGGGGCCGGGGGAAGCTCTGCAACTTACCTGGCTGCTTCTTGCTCTGACTGAGGGCTGCTGGGAGCAGGGGGCGGGGCTTGCTGCATGTGCCCGCCCCCTGGGCTCTTGACTGCCGGAGCTCCGCTTCTGCAGGAAATGACCCCTGCATAACAATAAACTTTGTAATCTGCTGTAAAACTGTCCCTTATAGAAGCAACCTCCTGAGCTGATCCATTATGCTGCCGTTCTGATCTCTTTGTACAAAGGCCCCCTTTAACATTGCTGTTTTGCACTTCCTGGAAAACGATCGAAGAGTGGTAAAGATCACGACACAGGTTTTCTTACGCCCCTGCAATACACCTGCCTGCCAGCACATGAGACTTTTAAAAAAAGATCTTTTAAAAACTACAAACAGCTTCTAAAGTCACGGAACAAAGTTTGAGTCCAGTAGCACCTTTAAGACAAACAGAGTTTAATTCTGGGTATAAGCTTTAGTGCGCAGAATCAGAGACTCATAGAGCTGCAAGGGACCTCCGGGGTCATCTAATCCAACCCCCTGCACAATGCAGGAAATCCACAAATACCTTCCCTCCCCCGCACACAACCTCCAGTGACCACCGTTCCATGCCCAGAAGATGACCAAAAAAACCCTCCAGGCCCTCCTGCCCAACTGGCCTGGAGAAAAACTGCTTCCTGCCCCCAAAGTGGCGATCAGCATTTCCCTGGGCATGTAAGAAAGAATTAAACGTCGTTGGTCTTAAAGGTACTGTGGGACTCAAACCTTGTTCGGTTGCTTCCGACGGACACAGCGACCCACCTGACGCTTTTCAAGCCAGCCCATTCTGCAGAACTGCATTAACATGACTCTGTTTTGTGAGGCCAGTTGCCAAAATTAGCATCCGTGGACAGAGTTTCTCCTTCCTGTTTTTGTTCTCAGCAGCCCGGTGTGTGTGTGTGTGTGTGTGTGTGTGTAGGTTAGGCTGGGAGGGAGTGGTCCAAGATGTCCCTGTAAAGTGCATCACCACAACCGGGATTCGAATCCTGGGCTTCACGATCAAAGCCCAGTCTCACACTGGCTCCTACAGGCGCCAGGCCCTTTGGAAAGTGACTGTGGATCTTTTTCAATTTAGGAGTATACGATGACCCCAGCTGCTCCCAAGAAGTGAATCATGGCGTTCTTGTGACAGGATATGGCAGTCTGGACAGCAAAGACTATTGGCTTGTGAAGAACAGGTAAGAATGTCCTGCCAGGCGGAAATCGGCTCAGTCAGGAGAAGAGGAGGTTTGAGGGGGGACAGGATGGCTCTCTTGAAGTATCGGAAGGGCTGTCCCTTAGAGGAGGGCAGGGAGCTATTCCTGTGGGCAGCAGAGGAGAGGACTCGCAATAATGGATTTAAAAAGGGCAGGAAGGTACCGGGTGGATCTCAGGAAAAACTTTCTGACAGTAAGAGTTCTTCAACAGTGGAATCAGCTGCCCGGGGAGGTTGTGAGCTCCCCCTCCCTGGCAGTCTTCGAGCAGCAGCTGGACAAACCCGTTGTCAGGGATGCTCTAGGCCAGTGATGGCGAACCTTTTAGAGACCGAGTGCCCAAACTGCAACCCAAAACCCACTTCTTTATCGCAAAGTGCCAAGACAGCAATTTAACCTGAATACTGAGGTTTTACTTTAGAAAAAACAACTCACACATTAACTTAAGACGATCCAAACAAAGTAAGGAAAGCAGCCCCAAATGCTTTCATTTACTTTAAATTATTTGGCAGAGAATTCGACACTTTAATGATGGTCTGGGCCTGGCTGGGGCGATGGCACACGTGCCCACAGAGAGGGCTCTGAGGGCCACCTCTGGCACCCATGCCATAGGTTTGCCACCACTGCTCTAGGCTGATCCTGCACTGAGCAAGAGGTTGGACTAGATGGCCCGTAGGACCAGTGTTCCCTCTAAGCTGAGTTAGTGTGAGCCAGCTCACAGGTTTTTTAGCCTCCGGCTCACACATTTTTGTCTCAGCTCAGGAAGGAGGGCTCGAGAGCAAACCAATTTGTGCAGCAGCCAAATCGCTCGCTCACAACTGCAATGCCAGTCGCTCACAAAGTAGAATTTTTGCTCACAAGACTCCACAGCTTAGAGGGAGCGTTGCGTAGGACTCCTTCCAGCTTTGTGTGATTCTATGATTCTATAACCAGTCAGCCAATATATCAGTTTCCATCCAGTCTGAGAAACTCTGAGCAAACACAGGTTATTTCACTCTATAATTTTAAACTCTATTCAGAGGACAGCAATCAGGGAAATTGTAAAGAGCTGTTACTGTCTTCCAAAGCATCCGTTTTCTCCAGGAGAGCTGATCCCTGTAGTCTAGAGATGAGATATCTGAAGAAGTGTGCATGCACACAAAAGCGTATACCCAAAATTAAACTTTGTTCGTCTTGGTACCACTGGAGTCAAACTTTGTCCTATTCCTTCAGACTGACACAGCTACCCACCTGAGCTAATTGTTCAAGTTCAAGTTTATTAATACAGTCAAGCGACCAGCCAATTTAGAACATTCCCAAGAAGAAGAATAATATAAATACACAAGAGGGGGACTCGCGATATTCGCGGGGGGGGGGGGGAGGAAAAGGCCCCGCCCCCCCCCCCCCCCCCCCCCCCCGTGGCCAGAGAGAGGTGGGGGCCTCTCCGCCTTCACCTACCGGAGGGGGCCACGCTTTGCCCTGCTCCATCCCAGTCTTGACCTTGTCGAAATCGGCTCCCCCCCAGTTGCGGATGTGGCGCCGGCTGCCTTCCCGCCGGTCTGACTCTGCGAAGGGGCCGCTGCGCCGGGGGTCGTCCAAGAAGTTGCGCACGGGGTTCTTCTCCTGCACTCCATCCTGGAGGGAAGCCCAAAGCCAGAGGAGGGACAGTGGGGTGAAGAGACTCCCCCCTCCCCCCACCCCCAATCCGAGGGGGGCCAACCAGGGCCGGCCAGGTAGCCCGAGGGGGGAGCCTGGGGAGGGGGCAAACCAATGGTGTTCCCATGGGCAGGACACCCTCCCCCCCCCCCCCTTCCCCCTTCCGGGCCCCGGACCCCCCAGCACCCCTGGGGACTGCCCCAAGAGTGCACAAACCTCCCCCTCCCCCCCAAGTGCCCCCGGAGCGCGGATTTAGCGATCCGCACTCTGGGGGCAACTTGACTATTAGATATATAGATAATAAATACCTACATAAAATTCAAATGGATGTATAAAAGAACATTAAAACAAATACAGGAGCAACACAGTATATCTAGGGTACAAGCGTCCTCTTTTTAAGAGCCAGGAAGCAAAATTTTGCAAAGGCTAAAGATGTCCTCTCTTTCCAGTCTTCCAGCAGAAAAGTTAAAATCCTTAATTCCGCAAATTTCAGCTGGACATCCAAGAGTTTAAATTTGGACAACAACAGGAAAATTAGCAGCTGTCTCTCCATAGCATAAAAGTTAAAATGCAGCAGAATATGTGAGACCGACTCTATTTCAAGATTTGTACAAGGGCAACATCTTTGGGAAATAGGCCAACGCAAAAACCTTCCTTGTAACAAATTAGAGGGTAGGGCATCAAAACGTGCTCTGGAGAAAGCCCATCTATAACCATCGTATATGATGTTAGAAAGATATGGAGCAGGAGCAAATCCTGTCCAGGATTTTAAAACTCTATATCTTGAGGGTAAGAGGGCTTCTTCTGTCTGAGCCTCTATATCTATTAGGCATCGGGTCAGTATAGATTTAGCTTTAGTCAATCCTAGCTCCAAAAGACTTGCAGCTAATTGTATTAGTCTGTCACACATTTTTATTCTTCATGTCCATCAGTGGCTCTTAGCCACAAGGTATAGACAGGACCTCTCGGTCTGGGGCAAGTGATGCACTGTATTCTGGGTGCTTGGGGGGTGGGCAACAGTGGGAGGGCTTCTAGTGTCCTGGCCCCACTGGTGGACCTCGTGGTATTTCTGGCCACTGTGTGACACAGCGTGTTGGACTGGATGGGCCATTGGCCTGATCCAACATTGGCTTCTCTTATGTTCTTATGTGTGTTGTATTTGCTATGTACTTGTGGGCTATACATACGTGAGATAAGTGTTTACTGAACATCTATAGACACCAGAAGTAAGAATTCTTTCCTGGTATTGAATATTGATATTAATTATTCTCCTGATGTTTTTATTTTATCCCAACAGCTGGGGACCACATTTCGGTGACCAAGGATATATCCGGATTGCACGGAATCATGGGAATCGGTGCGGCATTGCCACATACGGCTGCTATCCCGTTGTTTAGAGAAGCGTGTCTTTTCTGCAGGCGCCCCCCCCCCCAAGAGAAGTCTGAAGAAAGGGCCTGTTAGGCAACTAATCTTAGGCTTCTTTTAATCAAACTGCTGTGTTTAAGAAGAGGGATTGGTCTCCAGGGCCAGATCTTCCTGTCAGCTCCACCGGGTAGATCTGAGACCGGCAACCAAAATGATGGTTTATCTTGGTTTAGCTCAGTTACCTGCTAGCTCTCCCAGGGGTGTTGTGGGGCCGGATCGGATAATAATGTCTGTCGTACCGCTCTGAACGAGAGTCGTTTTCTGTCATCGCTAAGTATGCTCACTCTTTCGACCTCAAAGTGTCTCATATTAAAAGGTGTTTTCGGTGGGAAAAAAACCCAATTGTGCCCCGTTTACGGAACTTTCAAACGGATCCGCACAAACAGGCATGTACGGTCTGCTAGCCGGCAAAATGCGTACGGAACAGCAGCAGCAATGTGGAATTTTCAAGAATTTGCAGGCAATGTTCCCTCTAAGCTGTGGAGTCTTGTGAGCAAAAATTCTACTTTGTGAGCTACTGGCATTAAAGTTGTGAGCAAGCACTTTGGCTACGGCATAAATTCGTTTGCTCTGTAGCCATCCTTCCTGAGCTAAGACAAAAATGTGTGAGCCAGAGGCTAAAAAGCTGTGAACTGGCTCACACTAACTCAGCTTAGAGGGAACATTGTTTGCAGGTACTGCCAAGTGTGGAAGGATTAAAAAAAATATTTATGGGGTTTGCCTTCTTATCCTTTCCTTTAATCCAGAGTTTTCCAACCAGGAATCCATGGGAACCTTACAATCACCCACCTGAGGGACTTCAGTTTTTTCCTTGTTTTGCCTCTGAATTTTGTAATTGTTAAATAAATTACTTGTTATATCAGCAGTGGCTGAACAGAGCCTGTCTCAAACAGGACACAGTATTTTGTTCCAAGACACTGAAAGACTGGACAACACTTCCAATCACCATGTCAGATTACGCAGGGAAGCCATTGAAATTCATAAACATAAACACAATTTCAACAGGAAAGAAGAGAGTTTAAAAATAAATAGGGTGTGGTTTTCTGTCCTGAAAAACACAAAGGGCTCTACATCTGACAATAGCACTACAGATAAGATTAGAATTTCAACAGCCAATCCACATACAAAAGAACCTCCTCAGGAAACAGGAAACAATCCCATATAAAAAAGAACCTCCTCAGGAAAGCTCCTCCATTACCATGTTTCACAGCCTGGGGAACTCCTACAAGAGAACGACTCAGCCCTACCGACCTTCCTGAGTAGATATAAATTACCTGCCTACCATTTTCTTCTTACCGTGACACAGAGAGTCCTCCATCTTTCTGTGTTACACCTCTGAGGATGCCAGTCACAGCTGCTGGCGAAACGACATGTTCTACAATGGCAAGACCAGGGCCAGACAACCCAGAAAACCACTTTTTACAGCTTTTTTTCTTTGGGGGGGGCACAGGGAGAGGGAGTGTTGAGGCTTCACTGCCACAGGAAGTGGCGGCAGCTACAAGCACAGATAGCTTCAAGAGGGGATTGGATAAATATATGGAGCAGAGGTCCATCAGTGACTATTAGCCACAAGGTATAGATGGGACAATCTGTCTGGAGTAGTGATGCTCTGTCTTCTTGGTGCTTGGGGAGCAACAGTGGGGAGCAACAGTGTTATCTACTACAACTCCAAGATCTCTCTCTTGATCAGTCTCTGCCAGTCCAGACCCCATCAATGCGTATTTATAGTTAGGATTTTTGGCTCCAATGTGCATCACCTTGCACTTGGCCACATTGAACCCCATTTGCCATGTTGACGCCCACTTGCCCATCTTTGACAGATCCCTTTGGAGTGCCTCACAATCCTCACTGGTTTTCACCACCCTGAACAACGTCGTATCATCCGCAAATTTAGCCACTTCACTGCTTACTCCTAACTCCAAATCATTAATGAACAAGTTAAAAAGCAGTGGACCAAGTACTGATCCCTGCGGTACCCCACTGCTTACCTCCCTCCACTGAGAAAATTGCCCATTTATACTCACTCTCTGTTTTCTTTGAATTAGCCATGATTTTTGAGCTTACTTAGGAGCCTTTGATGAGGAACTTTATCAAAAGCTTTCTGGAAGTCAAGGTAAACAATATCTACTGGATCCCCCTTGTCCACATGTTTGTTAACCCCCTCAAAGAACATTAACAGGTTAGTGAGACAAGATCTTCCCTTACAGAACCCATGCTGAGTCTGCCTCAATTATGTTCTAATAAAGAATAATAATGCTCCTGCAGAGTGGTCTTGCAGAGTTGGACTAGATGACCTGCAAGGTCCCTTCCAACTCTAACATTCTATGAGGAAAACAATAAAAAAATTAGTACGGTATTTCACACAAAAGATGGTGAACAAATAAACCGTCGCTGTCCTCAACCAAAGGCCTGGCATCTCTGCCTTACAGGCCCTGCGGAATTGCATAAGGTCCCACAGGGCCCTGGCGGTATTTGGCCAAGAGTTCCACCAGGTTGGAGCTCCGACCGAAAAGGCCCTGGGCCTGATCGAGGACAGCCGGATAGTGGGACGACGTATGGAAGAAGAAAGCTCATACACAGAAAGCATTGGGTTTTTTTTGGGGGGGGGGGTGTCCATGCAAGGCTCTTAAGAAACAAGTTCTAGTCTGTGAAAGCTTTTGCCAGAATCAAATTGGGCCTAAGTCATCCCTGAATGTGGATAGGGTTGCCAACCCCCCCGGTTTACCAGGGGTCCCCTGTTTTTTTGGGGGGGGGTTCTACCCGCCCCCAACACCCACAGCCACCCCTCTCCCTTCTCTCTTGAGAGAGAGGTGTGGCTGCCTTTAAGTTCATGGAGCTCGCTTTTCCTCCCAAGCCCGATCTCCGCTTGAGATCAGGCTTGCAGGGAAATGCCAGCTCCGTGCACTTAAAAGGGAAACGCCGGCTCTTTGCTCTTAAAGGAGAAACGTCGACTCCAACTTAGAAGGCTTTAAAAGGGGAGTGGACAAATCCATGGAGGAGGGGGCTATTTGTGGCTACCAGTGTTCCCTCTAAGCTGAGTTAGTGTGAGCTAGCTCACAGTTTTTTAGCCTCCGGCTCACACACTTTTGTCTTAGCTCAGGAAGGAAGGATCCAGAGCAAACTGATTTATGCAGCAGCCAAATCGCTTTCTCACAACTTTAATGCCAGCAGCTCACAAAGTAGAATTTTTGCTCACAAGACTCTCCACAGCTTAGAACATAAGAGACGCCAATGTTGGATCAGGCCAAAGGCCCATCCAGTCCAACACTCTGTATCAAACAGTGGCCAAAAATACCAGGTGCCATCAGGAGGTCCACCAGTGGGGCCAGGACATTAGAAGCCCTCCCACTGTTGACCCCCCCCAAGCACCAAGAACACAGAGCATCCCTTGCCCCAGAGTCCCTATCTATACCTTGTGGCTAATAGCTACTGATGGACCTCTGCTCCATATGCTTATGTAATTCCCTCTTGAAGCCGTCCATGCTTGTAGCCGCCACCACTTCCTGTGGCAGTGAATTCCATGTGTGAATCACTCTTTGGGTGAAGAAGTACTTCCTTTTATCCGTTCTAACCCGACCGCTCAGCAATTTCATGGAGTGCCCACGAGTGCTTGTATTGTGAGAAAGGGAGAAAAGTACCTTTTTCTTTACCTGCTCTTTCCCATGCATAATCTTATAAACCTCGATCATGTCACCCCTCAGTCGTCGTTTCTCCAAGCTAAAGAGCCCCAAGCGCTTTAACGTTTCCTCATAGGGAAAGTGTTCCAACCCTTTTATCATTCGAGTTGCCCTTTTCTGCACTTTTTCCCAAAGCTATAATATCCTTTTTAAGGTGTGGTGACCAGAACTGCACACAGTATTCCAAATGAGGTCGCACCATTGATTTATATAGGGGCATTATGATATTGGCTGATCTGTTTTCAATACCCTTCCTAATAATCCCCAGCATAGCATTGGCCTTTTTTATTGCAGTCACACACTGTCTCGACATTTTCAGACAACCAATGCTCCCTCTAAGCTGTGGAGTCCTGTGAGCAAAAATCCTGCTTCGTGAGCGACTGGCATGAAAGTTGTGAGCGAGCGATTTGGCTGCTGCATGAATTAGTTTGCTCTGTGCATAAATCAATTTGCTCTGGAGCCCTCCTTCCTGAGCTGAGAGAAAAATGTGCGAACCGGGGGCTAAAAACCTGTGAGCTAGCTCACACTAACTCAGCTTAGAGGGAACTCTGATTCCATGTCACCCCTCAGTTGTTTCTCCCCTTGGCGAATTCCATTCCTGTCAGGCATGGAGCCTCTAACAGGGAATAGCCAACAACACCCCACAAGCGACACCCCTCAGAAGAGGAGTGTTAAAAGAATACTGCTTTTTGGCCATTCCCAGTAGAAAGAAAAGCAAACGGGTGTCCTTTTTTCCACACGTAACCGCTGCAGATGGGGCGGTGGAGAAAAAAGGCGGGGGGAAAGAGCGGCCTCTGAGGAGGGAGGAAAAAGGCGGGAAAAGTGTGAGGCGAAAAGCGACGTCCGCTGAGGGGGAAGGCTGGGTTGGGAAGCCATGCAGGGAGGCCCCTGAGGGAGAAGAGTAAAGAGCGTGGGCTGAAAGGGCGACGAGCTCTGTGTTTTTTGGACAACGTGGCTCACGGCGGCACTACGGCCATTGTCGGTAGTGTTCCCTCTAAGCCGAGTTAGCGTGAGCCAGCTCAGGGAGGAGGGCTCTATAGCAAACTGATTTAGGCAGCAGGAGCCAAATCGCTCCCTCACGACTTTCATGCCGGTAGCTCAACAAAGTAGGATTTTTGCTCGCAGGACTCCACAGCTTAGAGGGAGCATTAGTAGGGTTCCCTCTAAGCCAAGTTAATGTGAGCCCGCTCACGGTTTTTGAGCCTCTAGCTCACACATTTTTTGTCTCCGCTCAGGGAGGAGGGCCCCAGAGCAAACTGATTTAGACAACAGGAGCCAAATTGCTCCCTCACGACTTTCATGCCAGTCGCTCAACAAAGTGGGATTTTTGCTCGCAGGACTCCACAGCTTAGAGGGAGCATTAGTAGGGTTCCCTCTAAGCCAAGTTAATGTGAGCCAGCTCACAGTTTTTGAGCCTCCGGCTCACACATTTTTTGTCTCTGCTCAGGGAGGAGGGCCCCAGAGCAAACTGATTTAGGCAGCGGCAGCTAAATCGCTCCCTCACGACTTTCATGCTGGTAGCTCAACAAAGTAGGATTTTTGCTCGCAGGACTCCACAGCTTAGAGGGAGCATTCGTAGGGTTCCCTCTAAGCCAAGTTAATGTGAGCCCGCTCACGGTTTTTGAGCCTCCGGCTCACACATTTTTTGTCTCCGCTCGGGGAGGAGGGCCCCAGAGCAAACTGATTTAGGCAGCGGCAGCCAAATCGCTCCCTCACGACTTTCATGCCAGTAGCTCAACAAAGTGGGATTTTTGCTCGCAGGACTCCACAGCTTAGAGGGAGCATCGGTCGTCAGCGGTGTTCCCTCTCAGCTGAGTGTGAGCGCACGGTTTCTTAGCCTCTAGCTCACACATTTTTTGTCTTAGCTCAGGCAGGAGGGCTCCAGAGCAAACTAATTCACACAGCAGCCAAATCGCTTGCTCACAACTTTAATGCCGGTAGCTCACAAAGTAGGATTTTTGCTCACAGGACTCCACAGCTTAGAGGGAGCATTGGTTGTGTCAGTAGTTCCGGAAAAGGCGTCCCTGTGGGGAGACAGTGTCTCTGTTTGACCCCCTTTCTTTCTCCTTTCTTCCACAAGGGCCAGAATCAGAATCTGTTAAGTCTCTAAGGGGCTAGTCCTTAAGGTGCCACAAGTATCCTGTTTATTTCCCCCCCCCCCTCTTCCAAGCAATGCTCCCTCTAAGCTATGGAGCCGTCTGAGCAAAAATTCCACTTTGTGAGCTACTGGCATTAAAGTTGGGAGCGAGTGATTTGGCTGCTGCATACATTAGTTTGCTCTGGAGCCCTCCTTCCTGAGCTGAGACAAAAATGTGTGAGCCAGAGGCTAAGAAACTGTGAGCCGGCTCACACTAACTCAGCTCAGAGGGAACACTGCTTCCAAGTTATTTGCCCGAACTGCTGCCAGGCTGGCTTCAGTCTTTCCTCGTCACAGCAAATGCCAAATTTATCTCTGGTTTCCTTCCATAAGGTTGCCAATTCAGGGTTGGGAAATACCTGGAGATTTGGGAGCAGTGTCTGGGGACTCGTAGGGATGCCAGCCTCCAGGTGGGGCCTGGAGATCTCCCAGAATAGCAACTGATCTGCAAAGATCAGTTCCCCTGGAGAAAATGGAGGCTTTGGAGGGTAGGCCGCATGGCATTGTGCCCCACTGAGGTCCCCGTCCTTTCTCGGCTCCATCCCCAAATCTCCAGGAGTTTCCCAACCTGGAGCTGGTAACCCTACCCCCCTACCCCGCTGGTGGCCAGGGGGGACCTATCAACCCTCCTAGTTCTATACTCTATGGTATACCACAGAGTCCGACCTCTAAATCTGCCATTCTCTGTAGGGGAGCTAAGCTCTGTGTTTGCAAGATAAGTGTAACTCTGGGAGCTCTCCAGGCCTTACCTGGAGGCTGGCAACCCCATCCGTTAATTGCATGGCCAGTTTTTTCATATGGGCCCGACTAGTGACTGTACTTTTAACTGCGCCTTAATGCACGAAACGATGCTCATCTACACGCATGAAAATCTTCCCTTATAGATTTCTTATACGTTGAGACAATGTTTTATGGGACGTGGGTTGCTTGCTTCCCAAAATGCGGATCAATGCTTGCAATATCTATTGATCTATAAAATCTCTATAATCAGATCTGGATTTTTTTTTTAAAAAAATAATAATTTCCACGCAGGAAGGAATTTGTCTCCAGAGCTGGATATGTACTAATGCAACTGTTTTCGTTCACAGTTCACAGAAACAACACGTTAGGAAATAAGCGACGATATGGCAACGGCCCAGAAGCAACGGAATTCCTTGGTAGGTGCCCATGCCTCGGGGTTATTTATTCTAGCTCTTGGGTTTTTGTGGGATTTTATGGCCATTCTCTGGAGCTGCGGTGGCTCAAGTGGTTAAGACATTGAACTGCAGGCTGTGGAAGGTCTAGTTCAGCAGTTCGAGACCCGAGTGCGCCGCATGACGGAGTGAGCTCCCATCTCTAGTTCCAGCTCCTGCCAACCTAGCAGTTCGAAAGGAAGAAATTGCAAGTAGATAAATAGGTACCACTTTGGTGGGAAGGTAACAGCATTCCGTGTGCCTTGGTGTTTAGTCATGCCGGCCACATGACTATGGAAACGTCTTCGGACAGCGCTGGCTCTTCGGCTTGGAAACAGAGATGGGCACCGCAACCCTAGAGTCGGATTCAACTGGCTTTCAAGCAAGGGAACCTTTACCTTTACCTTTTATGGCCATTCTATTTATTATATTCATATCCCGGTTTTCAGACCATTGTCTCCCAAAGCGGCACTCATCCATCAAGAGAGACAGGCTTGCAAACTAAAAAAGACAAAGAGAAATGGCAGGGGAAGGAGCTAAATTTGTCAGGCTTTCTCCCAGATGAGGGCCGGGCTGGTTCCCCTTCAGCACTGCTGTCCTTGCGTGGGTGGAAGCGGTGCCATGATCGTGTAGCCCTTGGCCCTCTGGCTGGCGACAGTGCCCGGGGGTCCTTTGCCCTTGGTTTTGTGTAGTGGTTCAGTGCGCAGACTCTAATCTGGGAGAACCGGGTTTGATTCCCCACTCCTCCACTTGCAGCTGCCGGATGACCTTGGGCAAGCCACAGTTCTCTCAGAGCTGTTCTCTCAAGGACAGTTCTGGAAAGAACTCTCTCAGCCCCACCTACCTCACAGGGTGTTGTGGGGAGGGGAAGAGAAAGGAGACTGTAAGCTGCTCTGAGACTCTGAGTGAAGGGCGGGGTATAATACCAATCCCTCCTCCTCCTCCTCCTCCTCCTCCTCCTCCTCCTCTTCTTCTTCTTGGTTTGACACCTGAGCACAGAGCCGGCTCAAGATATTTTTTTACCCGAAGCAAGGGATGCCCATTACCTTCTGCTACAAGAATGTAAGAACAGCCATGCTGGATTAGACCGACGGGCCACGTGGCCCAGCATCCTGTTTCACTCAGTGGCCGCTGATCAGACGCTGAGAGAAGGCTCACGAGCAGGGCATAGAGGCCGAAGCCTCCCCAATTGTTGCTCCCCATGACTGCTTCTGAACATGGAGGTTCCATTTAGTGATCGAGGCTACCCCCAATCGTGTTCCCTCTATGCCGAGTTAGTATGAGCTAGCCCACAGCTTTTTTAGCCTCCGGCTCACACATTTTTGTCTTAGCCCAGGAAGGAGGACTGCCCTTGAGAGAACAGCTCTGACAGAACTATGGCTTGCCCAAGGTCATCCAGCAGGTGCAAGTGGAGGAGTGGGGAATCAAACCCGTTTCTCCCAGATTAGAGTCTGCGCACTTAACCACGACACCAAACTGGCTCCTTTTCTGAAATTGCCGTTCTCAAACAGAAAAAGAAGTTGAACCACCCCACTTGCAAAGCTGTGAGACATAGATTAGAATTTGGACATGCCACTCCTTGTTTACTAATCTTTTGACGTTTAATTCCATCCTATTTTTCCATTGTCTCAGGTTCCATGAGGACTAGAATAATTTATTTTAAATTAAAGCCAGTGATGCCAAAATTATGTGTATATTGTAATGCACCAGAAGTTTGCAGTACAGTTGTAAGTCAGTCTTCCTGAATAGCCATCGAACAGTCCAGAAACTCAGAACCAGCACCTGTCTGATTTCAGAAATTGCCTATTCTCCTGGAATATGAATTATTTCTTTTTTCATTTTAGAGTGCAGTGATATTCCCTAACAAGATATCCACGGAGCAGCAATCGCTAGTATTAGTGAAGAGACTGCTGGCAATATCCGTATCCTGCATTACTTATCTAAGAGGGATCTTTCCAGAATATGCATATGGAACAAGATATCTAGATGGTAATGGTTGTTTCTTTTGGAATGAGTGATGAACACATAGAATTAACTGCCACAGGAGGTGGGGGGCGGCTACAAGCATGGACAGCTTCAAGAGGGAATTAGACAAACATATGGAGCAGAGGTCCATCAGTGGCTATTAGCCACAAGGTAGGAGCCGCGGTGGCTCAAGTAGCAAAGACGCTGAACTGCAGGCTAGAAGGTCGGTAGTTCGGCAGTTCGAGACCCAAGTGCCGCATGATGGAATGAGCTCCCGTCTCTGGTTCCAGCTCCTGCCAACCTAACAGTTTGAAAGCAATAATTCAGAGCAAGAGGTGTCAGATATCAGACAGTGTTAAATAAACAAAATATTGCAGGAGTGCTAATGTTCTAAGCATGTTTTTATTTTAAGTTTTAAAAAAACACCCTTTGTGTTTGTGTCCTTTATAAAGTTTATATCTCCGCTACCTGGCATTACATTTTATGACACACAGGACCCGGCCCAACAAGGTCTCATTTATGTCAGACCTGGCCCTCATAACTAATGAGCTCGACACCCTTGGTCTAGATGCTAAGACAACGCCACCACCATTTATTAGTATTATGTTTGCTAGCACTTTTCTGCACATGGGTTGTTTTAACTTGATTACTGTTTTAATGTATCTCGCAGTTTTAATATATTTATATATATTCTGTAAGCCGCCCTAAGCCTGCCTGGCAGGGAGGACGGGGTACCAAGTAAATAAAATAAATAAATAAATAAAACACAAGAAATACATTGCCATTAACAATTTTATCCTATGTAGTAGATTTGATTCCCACACCTTAGTTATTTTGCTTGTATCTTTTAAGATCTCTGTGTGAAAATACTGAAGGAAGACAAAAACTGTCCAAGCGCTGGTCAGCTAGTGAAATGGTATGTACACTGTAATCTTTTGATGGTGGATAGGGGCCCTTAAATGTTTGCGGTGGACTTATGTATAGATCAATGTGGCGAGAGAAACTCATGCTCAGTGGTCTGAGAACCACGCTCAGCGGTCACAATCACACGTATCCTGAAATAAAAAGCAATTCATACTTGTTTATTATGTCAATGTGAAGGCAATTGCCAAGTCCATAAAAAGCAATAATAATAATAATAATAATAATAATAATAATAATAATAATAATGTTTCATGATTAAGAACCTGATGGAAAATTGTTCAATGGATGTTGGTGAATGTTGCGGTTCTAAAAATAAGTACAGAAATCTGCATGAGGCAGCAATAGTGTTTTCTTTTTACAGGATGTTAGGATGCTACGATGCACTGCAGAAAAGATATGTAAGTTGGATATTATATTTTTTCTACAATGACTGAGCCACTGTGAACATAGACTGAGCCGGGGGTATACTTGTTGAAGGCACTGAGCAATACCTCTAATTTCTAATTATGTTTTTAATTCTCTTTATTTTAATCAGCTCAGGTTGGTCGTCTTAGCGGTAAGTTTTAAAAATATGTCAACATGTCAAAATAAATCAGTATTGACTCTGCTGTATTTTACGATGAGTCATCCTAATCATATTATTTATCTTAACACACAGGTCTACACCAATCAGGAGGACCCTCAGGTACGTTTAAGATAATGTTGCATTAATAGATTTTTAATTGCATATGCTTCATATTGGATTGAAACTCACTGAGCCAGTTTGTTGTAGTGGTTAAGTGCGCGGACTCTAATCTGGGAGAACCGGGTTTGATTCCCCACGCCTCCACTTGCACCTGGCTGGATGGCCTTGGGCAATCTGTAGCTCTGATAAGAGCTGTTCTGGAAAAAGAGCAGTTTCAGTCAAGAGCTCTCTCAGCCCCACCTACCTCCAAGGGTGTCTATTGTGGGGAGGGGAAGGGAAAGGAGTTTGTAAGCTGCTCTGAGACACCTTTGGGTAGTGAAGGGCGGGGTATAAATCCAATCTCTTCTCTTCTTCTTCTTTATGAAGACGTGCATAAAAACATACGAAGAGCCCTGCTGGATTGGACCACTGGTCCATGTAGTCCAGCATACTGTCTCACACAGTGGCTAATTCGTTACTATGGAGGTCCAACAACAGGGCATGGAGGCCTGATGTTGTCTCCTGGCACAGGTGTTCAGAGGATGACTGCCTCTGAACGTGGAGGTTCCATTTAGTCCTTGTGGCTAGTAGCCACGGGTAGATCTTTCTTTGTCTAAGCTGCCTACTCCCCTTTTAAAGCTGTCTATGCCTGTGGCCGTCACTACATCTTCTGGCAGTGAATCACACCATTTAATTACTGATTGAGTAAAGAAGTATTTTCTTTTGCCTGTCCTGAATCTATCATCCATCAGTGTGGTGTAGTGGTTAGGAGCACGGACTCTAATCTGGGAGAACCGGGTTTGATTTCCCCACTCCTCCACGTACAGCTGCTGGTGTGACCTTGGGTCAGTCACAAGTTCTCTCAGAGCTGTTCTCTCAAGGGCAGTTCTCCAAAGAGCTCTCTCAGCACCACCCTCCTCTCCGGGTGTCTGTTGTGGGGCGGGGAAGGGAAAGGAGATTGTAAACCGCTCTGAGACTCCTTCGGGTAGTGAAGGGCCGGGTATAAATGAAATTCTCTTCTTCTTCCTTACTGGATGCCCTTCAGTTATAGTATTTTGGGAGAGGGAGAAAAGGTTCTCTCTGTCCCCTCTTTCTCCCTTGTGCATAATTTTACAAACCTCTGTCATGTCCCCCCCCCCAAGTCATCTCTTTTCTAAACTGAGAAGTCCCAGACTCTTCAGCCTTTCCTCATAGGGAACATGCCCCAACCCTCTAATCATCTTAGTTGCCCTCTTCTGTACTTTTCCCCAGCTCTGTGATGTCCTTTTGGAGATATGGTGACCAGGACTGTTCACATTTTGCCAGATGAGGCCACATCATAGATCTATGTCTCATTATAACATCAGATGTCCTGTTTTCAGTCCCATTCCTCATAATCCGTAAAACAGAGTTTGCCTTTTTCACTGCAGCAGCACACTGGATTGACACATTTGTTTAACTATCCATGATGTCCCCAAAGTCTGTTGTTTCAACAAGTTCAAGCCCCATCAGTACATACTTGAAGTTGGGATTTTTTTGTCCCATTGTGCATCACCTTACACTTACCTACAGTGTACTTCTGTTATGTATTGGGACTGAAACATTGCGGGACTGTGCTGCCTGACACAGGGTGAGCTTGGAGTCGAATAACAGTAGACCAACTGGATTCTGGCAGGAACCAATCAAGGTGTAGGACAGTGCTGTCAGAGACAGGGTGAGCTTGGAGCCAAATAACAATAGACCAACAGGATTCTGGCAGGAACCAATCAAGGTGTAGAACTGTGTGGCCAGAGACAGGGTGAGCTTGGAGCCGAATAACAGTAGACCAACTGGATTCTGACAGGAACCAATCAAGGTGTAGAACTGTGTGGCCAGAGACAGGGTGAGCTTGGAGCCGAATAACAGTAGACCGATAGGATTCTGGCAGGAACCGATCAAGGTTTAGGACTGTGCTGCCTGAGACAGGGTGAGCTTGGAGCCGAATAACAATAGACCGATAGGATTCTGGCAGGAACCAATCAAGGTGTAGGACGGTGCTGCCAGAGACAGGGTGAGCTTGGAGCCAAATAACAATAGACCAACAGGATTCTGGCAGGAACTAATCAAGGTGTAGAACTGTGTGGCCAGAGACAGGGTGAGCTTGGAGCCGAATAACAGTAGACCGATAGGATTCTGGCAGGAACCGATCAAGGTGTAGGACTGTGCTGCCTGAGACAGGGTTAGCTTGGAGCCGAATAACAATAGACCAACAGGATTCTGGCAGGAACCAATCAAGGTGTAGGACGGTGCTGCCAGAGACAGGGTGAGCTTGGAGCCAAATAACAATAGACCAATAGGATTCTGGCAGGAACCAATCAAGGTGTAAAGTTTTGTAAATAGCCTATCGTTGGGAGTGGGGTGTGTTGGGGTGTGGCCATTGCAGACAATATAGCCATGCTGAGGCTCTGAGCTGAGGCAGTCTTGTTCTTGCTGAAATCACTGAATAAAGTAGAGCTGATCACTAGACTGGGAGTTTGTTCACCTATGGAACCCCCACTATTTAACAATGCCATTTACCACACTGTTGCCCACTCACCCAGCTTGTGGAGATCCTCCTGGAACGCTTCACAGTCAGCTTTTTTACCAGCCTCAATAATTTTATATCATCTGTAAACTTGACCACAGCACTGCTCACCACCACTTCAAGATCACTTCAAGTCCTTGTGGGACTCTACTACTTCCTTCCTTCCATTGCAAGAACCGTCCGTTAATTCTTACACTTTGCTTCCTGCCATTTAACAAATTTTTAATCCATAAAAGAACTCGCCCTCTTGTCCCATGACTGCTAAACTTACTCAGGAGTCTTTGGTGAGGTACCTTGTCAAAAGCCTTTTGAAAGTCCAGGTATGTAATGTCTACCAGGACACCATGGTTTACAATTTGGTGTAGTGGTTAAGTGCGCGGACTCTAATCTGGGAGAACTGGGCTTGATTCCCCACTCCTCCACATGCAGCTGCTGGATGACCTTGGGCAAGTCATAGATCTGTCAGAGCTGTTCTCTCAAGAACAGTTCTCCAGAGAGCTCACTCAGCCCCGCCTACCTCCCAGGGTGTCTGTTGTGGGGAGGGGAAGGGAAAGGAGTCTGTAAGCCGCTCTGAGACTCCAAGTGAAGGGCGGGGCATAAATCCAATCTCCACTCCTCTTCTGCATGCTTCTTCACTTTCTCAAAGAACTCTAAAAGGTTTGTGAGGCAAGACTTCCTTTTGCAGAAGCCATGCTGACTTTTCCCTCAGCAGGCTTTGTTCCTCTGTGTGCCTAACAATTCTATCTTTGATTACAGTTTCTACTAATTTGCCTGGGACAGGCATTAGGCTATCTGGCCTGTAATTTCCTGGTTCCCCTCTGGACCCCTTTTGCCAAAATAGACATAAATATGGATGCTTAAATCTTTGTCGTGGGCCATATATATTTGTGGGTAATGTACAAATAAGGAGGCTGTGGTGGCTCAAGTGATTAAGATGCTGAACTGCAGACCGGAAGGTTGGTAGTCCAGCAGTTCGAGACCCAGGTGCCGCAAGACTGAGTGAGCTCCCGTCTCTGGTCCCAGCTCCTGCCAACCTAGCAGTTCGAAAGCAAGAAATTGCAAGTAGATAAATAAGTACCACTTCAGTGGGAAGGTAACAGCATTCCGTGCTCCTCGGCGTCTAGTCATGCTGGCTACATGACCATGGAAACGTCTCTGGACAGTGCTGGCTCTTCGGCTTGGAAACGGAGATGCGCACCGCACCCCTAGAGTCGGATTCGACTGGCTGACTGCTGAACTGCAGACCGGAAGGTCAGTAGTTCAGCAGTTCGAGACCCGAGTGACACAAGACGGAGTGATCTCTCGTCTCTGGTCCCAGCTCCAGCCAACCTAGCAGTTTGAAAGCAAGAAATTGCAAGTAGATAAATAGGTACTGCTTCGGTGAGAAGGTAACAGTGTTCCGTGCGCCTTGGCATCTAGTCATGCCGGCCCCATGACCACGGAAACGTCTCTGGACAGTGCTGGCTCTTCGGCTTGGAAACGGAGATGCGCACCGCACCCCTAGAGTCGGATTCGACTGGCTGTCTGCTGAACTGCAGACCGGAAGGTCAGTAGTTCAGCAGTTTGAGACCTGAGTGACACAAGATGGAGTGATCTCCCGTCTCTGGTCCCAGCTCCTGCCAACCTAGCAATTCGAAAGCAAGAAATTGCAAGTAGATAAATAGGTACTTCTTCAGTGGGAAGGTAACACTGTTCCGTGTGCCTTGGCGTCTAGTCATGCCGGCCACGTGACCATGGAAATGTCTTCGGACGGTGCTGGCTCTTCGGCTTGGAAATTGAGATGAGCACCGCAACCCTAGAGTCGGATTCGACTGGCTTTCGAGCAAGGGAAACCTTTACCTAATGTACAAAAGTATTAAGCTGTATTCATATTTCCTTATTTTCCCCAAATACGGTATTGAATTTTTGCTCCCTCAGACCTTTTGACTCCATGGGAATACCATCACTTTGTTAATTGCTTGCAAAAAATAAATCTTAATACACAAGTCAGTATATTCCACTAACAGCTTGCCGTTCTGGTTTGGAATCAAGCGGCCCACAGTGTTTTCACCCAGACTTGCATTCATCCTCAACACATACAGTAATAACGTAACCCGCCACAAGGTGTCCCCATTTATCTGTATGATGTGATAATATTAAAGAGTATTAATTTTGTAGCCTCGAGTACCCATACCCAACAAATCAGAGCTCAACTCTGTGCTCCTGTATGCACGGGATTATTCCGTGCCGTTTATCAGAGGATCTGTTCTTGGCGTGGACGGGGGTGTGAGAGCAGAGTTCCCCCTGTCAGCTCACGCGGAGGCAACCATTAAAGCAAACGGCTAGCTTGAGGTGTAAATCTATGCTTGAGTGGACTGGAGCCAGTTTGGTGTTGTGGTTAAGTGCGCAGACTCTAATCTGGGAGAACCGGGCTTGATTCCCCCATTCCTCCACTTGCACCTGACTAGATGACCTTGGGCAAGCTGTAGTTCTGATAAGAGCTGTTCTTGAAAAAGAGCAGTTTCCTCCTCCTCCTCTTCTTCTTCTGAGAGCCAGTTTGGTGTAGTGGTTAAATCCACAGACTCTAATCTGGGAGAATCGGGTTTGATTCCCCCATTCCTCCACTTGCATCTGCTGGGTGACCTTGGACAAGCTATAGTTCTGTTAGAGCTGTTCTCTCAAGAGCAATCAGAAGAGCTCACTCAGCCCCACCTACCTCACAGTGTGTCTGTTGTGGGGAGGGGAAGGGGAAGGAGTTTGTAAGCTGCTATTTTGCGTTCTTTTGAAATTTCCTAACTTTCATATCAGTGACGTGACGACTGTGTTTTGTCTTTAGACCATTACAGAATGCTACCAGTTTAAGTTCAAATACACTGACAAAGGACCAGAGATGGATTTCGTAAGGTATTCTCCTCTCGTTTTTCTCCCTGCGCTCTGCAGTTTTAGAAGATATTTCTCTAGCTGCCTGTTCCAGTAAGAATGAAGTGAAAAAATGTGTTCTTGGCTTCTAGGAATGGAATGTTAACACGGCCGTATTCACCAAGGGAACATTACTAGTCTCCTTTTTTTGTGGCGATATCACACATGTCTGGCAACACTCTGAATCGGTCTCTAGCTGCATTTTAACAGGCATAATAGAAATAGTAGCGAAAATACTATCAGATATTTTTGTGGATATTTAAAAGTCCAAGAACAGCCCTCATAAAAACATATACGTATGGGTGGTGGTCACACACACATCAAAGAAAAAGAAATGCAAGAAAGCAAAGTGGCTTTCTGATAAGGCTTTACAAATAGCACAGGAAAGAAGGAAAGCGAAAGGCAAAGGCGAAAAGGAAAGATTTACCCAACTGAATGCAGATTTCCAGAGAACAGCAAGGAGAGATAAGGAGGCCTTCCTGAATGAACAGTGCAAAGTAATAGAGGAAAACAATAGAATGGGAAGGACTAGAGATCTCTTCAAGAAAACTGGAGACATCAAGGGAGCGTTCCATGCCAAGCTGGCCATGATAAAGGACAAAAACGGTAGGGACCTAACAGAAGCAGAAGAGATTAGGAAAAGATGGCAAGAATATACAGAAGAACTATACAAGAAAGACCTCGATGTCCTTGACAACCACGACGGTATAATCACTGACCTCGAGCCAGACATCCTGGAATGTGAAGTTAAATGGGCCTTAGAAAGCATCACTAACAACAAAGCTAGCGGAGGTGATGGTATCCCTGCTGAGCTATTCAAAGTCTTAAAAGATGATGCTGTTAAAGTGCTGCACTCAACAACAACACGCATGCAAGACAAAGCGGTGTGTGTGGGGGAAGCGAGGCTATTTGCTCTGTAGGAATTTAACCCGCAGTTGCGCGATCACACAGTCCTCGGAAGATGCAGGCACAGCCCACCATGTGTGTGATCAGACGCAACCACAGGTGAGTTGGGTTTTTTTTTTGCTGTATGTTTCTGGTGCGCTTCAACGAGGGATCGATGATTCGCATGTCCGCACTGAGGGCTCCCTATGCAGTGTGCGATGATGCGCATACCATGAACAACGACACAGAGTCGGGATGGCCTGATCATCCCGACACCACGGGAGCGCGCTGGAGCGATCACACAGGGGAAAGTCCGTCCATGGCCCGTAGCGACCCTTTGGCTACCGGACTTTCCCTAGTGTCTTTTTACTCCGCTTCTGCAGCGGAGCAAAATGAGTTGCGGACGGGTGCGGAGCGCTTCCCAGAGGTTTGCATCTGATCGCGCCCTTTAAATCCGCCCGGCATCAGTGCCTATGGCGTTCTTTTGAAATTGTGTGTGTGACCGTGACCATAGATTTTCTTTGCAAATGTTGGGGAAATTGTCCATTTAAATGCTTTTAAATACTATGGTGCTGGGGAAGACTCTCGAGAGCAAGAAGATCAAATCAGTCAATCCTAAAAGAAATCAACCCTGACTGTTCCCTGGAAGGCCAGATAATGAAACTGAAGCTCAAAGACTTTGGCCACCCAATGAGAAGGGAGCACTCCCTGGAGAAGAAGACCCTGATGCTGGGAAAGACTGAAGGTCAAAGAAGACGGGGGCGGCAAAGGATGAGATGGTTAGACAGTGTCATAGATGCAACGAACATGAAATTGAGCCAACTTCAGAGGACGGCGGAAGACCGGGAGGCCTGGCGTGATCTTGTCCATGGGGTCGCGAAGAGTCGGACTCAACTGTGCGACTGAACAACAAAAAATACCAAGGAAGCTCTTTCTTAGTGAATGCCAAGACTCTTTCCTTCATGCCCCGGGGATTTTTCTGATGACATAAGAGAGGGGTCATGGCTCAGTGGTAGAGCATCTGCATGGAGAAGATCCCAGGTTCAACCCTTGCCATCTCCAGTTAGAAGGGCCAGGTAGTACATGATATCAAAGCCTTCCCCTGAGAAGAACATCAGAAGAGCCCTGCTGGGTCAGACCAGTGAGGGTCCATGTAGTCCAGCATCCTGTCTCACACAGTGGCCAACCAGGTCCTCTGGAGGGCCAGCAACAGGGCAGGGAGGCCGAGGCCTTCCCCTGAGAAGAACATCAGAAGAGCCCTGCTGGGTCAGACCAGTGAGGGTCCATGTAGTCCAGCATCCTGTCTCACACAGTGGCCAACCAGGTCCTCTGGAGGGCCAGCAACAGGGCAGGGAGGCCGAGGCCTTCCCCTGAGAAGAACATCAGAAGAGCCCTGCTGGGTCAGACCAGTGAGGGTCCATGTAGTCCAGCATCCTGTCTCACACAGTGGCCAACCAGGTCCTCTGGAGGGCCAGCAACAGGGCAGGGAGGCCGAGGCCTTCCCCTGAGAAGAACATCAGAAGAGCCCTGCTGGGTCAGACCAGTGAGGGTCCATCTAATCCCGCATCCTGTCTAACACAAGAGTCCAACCAGTTCCTCTTGACATCCAACAGCTGAGCATAGAGACAGAGGCCTTCACAAGAACAGGCCTGCTAGATCAGACCCAGTGGTCCATTTAGTCCAGCCTCTTGTCTCACACAGTGGCCAACCAGGTCCTCTGGAGGTCCATTAACAGGACATAGAGGCCAAGGCCTTCCCCTGATGTCGCCTTCCGGCACTGGGATTCAGGTTGATTGCCACTAATTCACCTCCTTGCCAAAAAAACTTCCACTGCCGATTTCCACACATTAAATGATTTCCACACATTAAATCACCTTTAAAGGGGCAGAACATTTCCACTCCAGGTCGCTGGGGACCCTAGGTCCCATCTCTTTACAGGGGGTAACAGCTGTCGTTGCTGTGCATGACCATCAATGGGTGTTTTTTGGCTTTTCTAGTAAACATCAGGGTGGCAATTCCAGCATCACATGTGCGGATACAAAGAAAGCCAGCATCCTGCTGCTAAGGAAGATTTATGTTCTGATGCAAAATCTGGGCCCTCTGCCCGATGATGTCTGTATGACAATGAAACTCTTCTATTATGATGAAGGTATCATTTCAAATCTTAATTCTGTTTTATGTATTCAATTTGTATGACCCTTTTCTGGGAGCTGTGGTGACTCAAGTGGTTAAGACGCTGAACTGCAGGCTGTGAAAGGTCAGTAGTTCAGCAGTTCGAGACTCGGGTGCCGCATAACGGAGTGAACTCCCATCTCTAGTTCCTGCTCCTGCCAACCTAGCAGTTCGAAAGCAAGACATTGCAAGTAGATAAATAGGTACCACTTCGGTGGGAAGGGAACAGTGTTCCGTGCGCCTTGGTGTTTAGTCATGCTGGCCACATGACCATGGAAACATCTTCGGACAGCGCTGGCTCTTCGGCTTGGAAACGGAGATGAGCACCGCAACCCTAGAGTCAGACTCGACTGGCTTTCGAGCAAGGGAACCTTTACTTTCGGAGCTGTAGTGGCTCAAGTGGTTAAGACGCTGAACTGCAGGCTGTGGAAGGTCAGTAGTTCAGCAGTTCGAGACCCGGGTGCTGCACGACGGAGTGAGCTCCCGTCTCTAGTTCCAGCTCCTGCCAACCTAGCACTTCGAAAGCAAGAAATTGCAAGTAGATAAATAGGGACCACTTCGGTGGGAAGGGAACAGCGTTCCGTGCGCCTTGGTGTTTAGTCATGCCGGCCACATGACCATGGAAATATCTTCGGACAGTGCTGGCTCTTCGGCTTTGAAACGGAGATGAGCACCGCAACCCTAGAGTCGGATTCGACTGGATTTCGAGCAAGGGGACCTTTACCTTTACTTTCTTTCTGGACAGAGCAGGCTCAATGCATCTCTCAAGTCAAGAAAACCTAACTATAACATCGTCCTACAGTAACCATGCCACAGCCTGGATGTCCTGGGCTAGCCTGTTCTTGTAAGGTCTCAGAAGCTAAGCAGGGTCGGCCCTGGTTAGTACTTGGACCACCAAGGAAGTCTAGGGTCATGACACAGAGGCAGGCAAAGGCAAACCCACCTCTGTTCATCCACTGTTCATCTCGGATGGCCCAGGCTAACCTCCTCTCATCAGATCTCGGAAGCCAGTTCGGTGCAGTGTTTAAATGCGCGGACTCTAATCTGGGAGAACCGGGTTTGATTCCCCACTTCTCCACATGCAGCTGCTGGATGACCTTGGGCAAGCCATAGTTCTGTCAGAGCTGTCCTCGAAAAAGAGCAGTTTCTGTCAGAGCTCTCTCAGCCCCGCCTGCCACGCAGGGTGTCTGTTGTGGGGAGGGAAAGGGGAAGGAGTTTGTAAGCCGCTCTGAGACTCCGAGGGAAGGGTGGGGTATAAATTCAATCTCCTCCTCCTCCTTCTTTATCCAGTCTCAGCTATGATCACCCCCGTTACTTCTGCATCTTGATTCTAACTAGCCCTTCCTGGCAACTAACCTCCCCTTCCTATATGTAATGGTTGAGGAAATTCTATTTCACTGTGTCTGAAGAAGTGTGAAAGCTTGTATCTTGAATAAAACTTTAAGAACATAAAGAGAAACCAATGTTGGATCAGGCCAGTGGCCCATCCAGTCCAATACTCTGTCACACAGTGGCCAAAAATGCCAGGTGCCATCAGGAGGTCCAGCAGTGGGGCCAGGACGCTAGGAGCCCCTCCCACTGTTGCCCCCACCCAGGCACCAAGAATACAGAGAGCATTCCTTGCTCCAGAGTCCTTACCTATACCTTGTGGCTCATAGCCACTGATGGACTTCTGCTCCATATGTTTATCCAATTCCCCCTTGAAGCCGTCCATGTTTGTAGCCGCCGCCACCTCCTATGGCAGTGAATTCCATGTGTTAATCAGTCTTTGGGTGAAGAAGACCAAACTTTGTTGGTTTTAAAGGTGCCACTGGACTCAAACTTTGATCTATTCCCATGTCAAGCTTTACACCCAGTTCACAGTTTTATCCGGATTAAATTTCAGTTTATTATTCACCCTGATCCAGCCTTTCTTCGCCTCCAGACACCACTTAAGTACATTCACCGCCTCCCTGGAATCAGTGGGAAGGGAGAGAGCAGAGCTCTGTACTGCCTGCGTATTAATGGCAATTTCCTCTCTCCCGGCAATTTCACGGAGATGCTAAATAACACTGGGGACAAGAAGGAACTCAGGAGCTCCCCATAGGACAAAGGCAAAGGGAAGAACAAAAAGTCTGTTAGCATCATCTGAAACCTGTCCCCTGGCAAAGACCAGAGCCATTGCAAAACAGTACCTACAAGGCTCAGTCCCACCAGGCATCCCAAAAGGATTCCGTAGAGCAGGGGTGTCGAACTCATTTGTTATGAGGGCCGGATGTGACATAAATGAGACCTTGTTGGGCTGGGCCATGTGTGTCAAATAATGTAATGCCAGTTAGCAGACATATAAACTTTATAAAGGGCACAAACACAAAGGGTTTTTTTAAAAAATAAAAAACATGCTGAAAACATTAGGACTCTTTCAATATTTTGTTTATTTAACAGTGTCTGATAACTGACACCCCTTGCTCTGAATTATTGCATCAAAATGTCTGTGCTGTTGCCATCTTGAGTATGCTGTTCAGGTGTGTATCTGTAAGCTGCAAACCTACGATGACGCAGCAGCAGAACTGGAAGAAGAAGCAAAAGACAGCCAGTTCCACTTCAGACCTGATAGAAGCCCTCCAGGGGCCTCATCCGGCCCCTGGGCCGCATGTTTGACACCCCTGCCATAGCGTATGGAATCAAAAGGCACTGAGATTGAAGAAAGCGAGAAGGGATGTAATGGCCCTGTCAGAAGACCAGATCATCAGCTGGGACAATCAAGACATTTTTAGTGCCATGCCTTCGGTTGCCGCCTCTGGATTAGGATGTTTCTGGAGATTTGGGGGTTGAACCTAGAGGTCATTACTTTGTAGGGTCACCATAAGCTGACACACAAAGTGAAACAAAAGTTTCCTCCTCTGCAAAATACTTTTGAAAGCCGACTTTTCTTTGCAGTTACCCCGCCTGACTATCAGCCGCCTGGTTTCAAAGAAGGCGACTGCGAAGAGATGGTGTTCGAGGGAGAGCCTATATATCTAAACGTGGGCGAGGTCCCCACGCCTTTTCATATGCTGAAAGTTAAAATGACAACAGAGAGAGACCGGATGGAGCACGTGGACAGGGCCATACTGAAGCAAGGCGATGTTTCGACGCCCCCGAAGGCACAGCAACCTGACGAAGGGCAGAGCCAGGACATGGATGTAAGGATTTCGATATTGCATATGTTTTATTTTGATCTGTGACATCGTTATTACGAAATGTTTGGTGTAGTGGTTAAGTGTGCGGACTCTAATCTGGGAGAACCGGGTTGGATTCCCCACTCCTCCACTTGCACCTGCTGGTGTGACCTTGGGTCAGTCACAAGCTCTGGCACAGCTGTCCTGGAAAAAGAGCAGTTTGTGTCAGAGTTCTCTCAGCCCCACCTACCTCACAGGGTGTCTGTTGTGGGGAGGGGAAGGGAAAGGAGTTTGTAAGCCGCTCTGAGAATCCAAGTGAAGGGCGGGGTATAAATCCAATCTTCTTCTTCTTCTTATGAGCTGAAATTTGCAGAGACTGTTGTTTTCATTACAGATCTATCAAAACCCTTAACCAAAACATTTAGCTGTGTTGCAATTGTCCTTGTTTGTGTTCTTTTACACAGGAGGATTTTATTACAGAAAAGAAAACGAGGAAGCAGAAAAATGCAACGGAGGCTGTGGACCTCAGAGGTACAAAACCTATATAACGTGATGGCTGCCACCCTATTCTCTGCTCCCACTTAATCTTATGAAGATGTTTCTGTCACTATAAAGCCTACTTAATACCCTTTGATTCTTTGTTGGGATTTTATGATTGCATACAATCATTTAATGTTATGATTACATACAATAAATGGCCTGAATATTTGGGTTTCTTAGGGTGCGTTCAGACGGGCAGCTAATCCCACCATTATGCCAGCTTGAATTTTATCACAATATTTTTAATCCATCGTAGCACGACCAGACATCCCCCGGGGGAATCGCCTTGCTGAATGCTGCCTCCGTTGTGGATTCTCTAGATGGCGTCCACTGAAGGAGGCATGCACGGTGGGTGTTTAAAAAAAACTTTTTGCGCATGCGCATAGACGTGACAGCACGTCCTTGTTGATCTGCGCATGTGTAGAGATTTTTTTAAATGCCGCCCACTCGGGATGCTCTGACGTCAGACCACTCCGATGGAAGGATTGCACGCTGTTGGAACGATCAGACGGGTGAAAGTCCGCAGTTGTCCCGCAGGTAACTGAAAAGCCCAGATTTAAAGTGCTATCTTTTAAGTACGGCTCCGAAGTGCGGCAAAATGGGATGCCCACGGAAGACGGACATTTCCCAGACGTTTGTGTCTGGACATTATTTTTAGATCCGTGAGGCAATCGTGCCTCGCGTGGATCTAAAGAGCCGTCTGATCGGACTCTTAAATCCCCTGATTCAAGAAGAACTTGGCAAAAGATGGTCTCTCCCCCTCCGCTCCCTTTACTTACAGGAAGATTATGGGATTTAAAAATGGCTGCAAAGTACAACGGGGTAAATTCTAGACCTGTGAAAACCCTTAACAAATGGAGGGCATTTTGCTTACAAATACTGTATATTAAAATAAAATCAATTCAGAGGGGGCCCCCCATTAGTCTTCATAATCAAACCTGATGACTGGGAAGACTGGCCCTCACATGGTTAATGCACTTGCAAAACGGGCCAAGGAGAGTCAAAGGAATAATTTATGTGTTCCCCAGCAACTGCCCACACATCCTAGGGGAAACCTACTTTCTACTCTGAGAACACAGAGGACTAGAGCCCGATTTATCAGTATTTCAATCAAACCCATTTTAAGAATATATTAACTTGTAACAAGTCCAGAGATATAAACTGTTGTTAGATCAATAATATATGGATTTGGGGGGGGGGGGATTTTTCGACATTCACAGAGCTAAATTTAACATGTGAAGAAGACGAAATTATGAAGATAGAAGAAAGCCAAAATTTGTCCATCGATAATTCTCAGGTATGAAGCAGTATTTCTTTCCTTCGAACATTCCTTTTTGTATCTCTTATCAGAGCTTTCCAGATTTGGCCGGTTTTCTAGCTTCCAAAACACTGGCAGCAGAACATGACAATTTGCCAAAGAATAGGTGCACTGCATACATGTCGCTTAGAGTAGCGCTGCATGACTTATATTAAACCTGTTTTTGAAGATAAAAGAAATATTGAAACAACCTAGGCCACTGGTGTCGAACTCATTTGTTATGAGGGCCGGATCTGACATAAATGAGACCTTCTTGGGCCGTGCCGTGTGTATCTTAAAATGTAATGCCAGGTAGCAGAGATATAAACTTTATAAAGGACACAAACACAAAGGGTTTATTTTACATAAAATAAAAACATGCTTAAAACCAGGGCTTTTTTTTGTAGAAAAAGCTCAGCAGGTACTTATTAGAATAATAGGCCACACCCAACAGCAGAAACTCATTAGCATATTAGGCCACACCCCTGACAGAGCAGCTCATTAGCATATTAGGCCACACCTCCACATTACCAGAACTGTGGTTATCCAGCCACACCCACCTTTTGCTTTTTATTCTGTTTACCTTGTTTGTTGTCAAAACCCA